TGTACCATTATACATTAGGTCCTAATTATAAGAGTATTTACTAATCGGGGTTACTGTAAGTGGTCAACTTTTTGTGGCTATCCACATAAAAAGTCCCCACACTTAAGTGGATTCCACTAAAAAACTCTGGATAAAATCTATGGATTTAAAAACCCCGATAAAATCTATGGATTTTTAGCTGAAGCGTTTGAAATTTCATCCTCTTCTTGGTGTCAAGTATGCACACGTGTCCCTGCACCAGTCTCCTGCTTTGTTTCGTCCAGACTTGTGCTGTGCTGTGTTAACTTCTGCCTTTGATGTGTCTTTTCATGCATGTTGTGGTGAATTATTTTATCTTTTTTGTAGCCATGAGTTCTCAACCCAAACAGGGTGGTGCAGCGCTCAAAAGGAAGCACACTAGCTCTAGTATAGATGTAAAATTAGAAGTGATAAGGCTAAAGAAAAGTGGGAGTGGACAATTCACCGAGTTCTGTTTTTATTTCATCCTCCGACTAATCCTCCATCCCCCGACACCCACCTCTGTCAATCCAATTGACCCGAACATCTATACCTTTGAAGCTAAATAAATTAAAATATTTTATTGTGTTAAAATTATTTATTTTTTAAACAAGTATTTTGTCCCAATGAACCACTGGAGGATTGTGCAACAGTTGCTGCGGACCACCTGGTCGCTGGCACAACCTACGTTGCCTTAACACATCGCTTTAAGTGGATTCGTTACCAGAGGCATTTCTCTGGTTCCAATTAACCGCGGATAACGAGAACCGCCTACTGTAGTCTGTCATTTACTGTACTTTGGTTTCCTTGTACATTACTAACTATAATTTTGAACTTTAACATCCATTTCATATGTAATAAATTGAAGTATTTGGTGTTAAGTGTTGGCCATTGTAAAAAAAAGGTTAGGACGATCACAGTTATTATCTATGGTGTGTCAGTTATAGTTGTCATAACTCTGAATTACTGTACTAAGGGACCTAAAACCTTATATTGTATAAGACCATATGTATTGATACACTCATACCTCACACTGCTGTGGAGGCCTTCCTGGAAATGTGAGTGCTATTCACACATATACAATACAGATAAAAGAAATTACTGTAATTGTCTTCAGGGCAAACACACAAAGGGAATATACATTTCTTTGTACACAAGTAAAACTGTACAACCCCCCCCCCCCTCCCCCTGGTCAGCAAATTTTTTCGCGGATTTGGTGATTCGTTGCCATTTTGAGAACCCAACCCCCGCGAATTTGGGTGGGGGGGGGTGGGGGCTTCTGTATGTTTTAATTTGTTATTTATTGTACACTAGAAGTAACCGCTGATGGTAAAGAAAAGTCAGGATTGCGCAAGGCAATTGTATGTACGTATGCACATGTGAAAACTTAGCTACATTTCTTTACATAGGAATATGAAAGCAACACTTATTACAGTTTATGCTTATGAATGTAAACCAAAAATTCTACTCGCCAATGGTGGCAAAGTCGAAAATTTATGGACACAGCCAATGTTGTAAATTTGCGAGAAGGTGACGTAGGGGTAATCTGTTGGTGCATTAGTTTTACAATCATGTTCTTGTTCAAGTTGCATTAGTTCTTCATTTGTTAGGTTTTCTCCTTGACTGTTTAATAGTTCCTGAATATTCTCTTCATCAACTGAGCACATCCTTAAATTTTTTCATCATTCTTACAAGAGTTTTCACTGTTGATTCCACCATTTCCAAAGTGCATGAAATATCCACAGACCTCTCAACTTGTTCGTATCATTTTAACACGTCTAGTTTCTCGGCTAAGCTTATACACTTTCTTTTAGCTTTTAAACCTCACTGTCATCACCTGCTCTCTTGTTCCTGTTGAAGAGGGGCACAAAAATGCCTTAAGATACCCGAGAAAGTTTTTTCCTGTTCAAGTACGTGAAAACAAAATGACCACTAAAGTGCGAGGCTTTTCTGTATCCAGTACAGTACCAGCAAATGTAAGGAATAAATAAATATTATACCCCTACCAATAAATAAATTTCAAAAAAAATTACTGGACATGTATTGCCAAATCAGTAAATAAAAGCCAAATGAAAGTTTACACAGTCACCTTCTGCATACTGTACATTGTTTCCCTATTACTAACGGAGACCAACTGGGATGCCGATTTCCTAGAACGTTCCCCACTTCCTCACTGAGCCAGCTAACTAAGGTGTATGCCCCTGTATTCCCTTTATGTGTTTGCCATTAGGACAATTATTTCTTTGACTTTTTTCACAATATGTATGTAGGATGGTGTGTGCATGTAACTGGGTAAAAATAATTGAAGAAAGTTACGTATATCTACCCAAAGATACGAGTTGAAAAACAACCATAACACCACAGATTGGCCCAGTATCCTGGTGGTTACAGGGATGAGTCTAACTTGGTTGAGTTTAACCTGGCTACAATGCCATGGTTAATCACTTAAGCACTATTCTATCAGTAAACACTAATAATAATAGTAAATCCAGTGAAATATTGCAGGGAGTGAGGAGAGTTACAAGAGCAGAAGACGTGCTAACTAGCAAATGCAGTCGCTCACACCTTACTGCTCCAGGTGTACATATGGGAGAAGTACTGGTACATATCTTGTAGTCTAATTTGAAAATGGTGACAGGCAAATTATATAAACCATACATTTACCAACTGTATGATAACATAAGAACCATTGTATCATTACTAGAGTGATTGAAATAATATTTTCACAAGCAACAATTGACAACCCTGTTTATGTTTCCCGCCTCGGGTACCTGTGTCCCACATGCAGACATCTCATTTACACGGGCCTAAGATGATGTTTGCTCTGTTTTGGGAATGCTTCTTAGTCCTCAGAACCCCCAAATTTTGTCCGAATCATCCGAAATTGATATTTACTGGGTTCAAATCTTTGAGGGTTCATTGTACTATACTTGTTAGACAACAACCCAATTGTCAGAAAGAGTGGAATTTGCAACCATGAAATATTGAGATTCACAATTTATTTTGCAACACATTACAACAGGAGTGGTGTGTCTCGCTCTTCTGTATCAGTCATCACCCTCACTCTGGATGTATTGCTGTGTTAATTCCCTTGTTGGTGATGTGTGGGTGGTATTGGAGGGACTGTGGGTGGTGTTGAGGTGTGGGGTGGTGCTGGAAGGTGTGTGGGTGGTGTTTGGGGTAAACAGAGAGCAGTTGGTGCTGATTGTCAAGTAAGTAAATCAGAGAGATCTGCTCTTGGCGTTTTACTGTACTAAGTTTTGCAGGCTCAGTCAGCTTCTTTACAGCATTTGTTTGGTTCACTGCCAGCTTGTACTTTCTCTATGGGAGGAGGGAAAATTAAAGATGGAGTTAGCTTCTTTGCACAACCTAGATTACTAGCAAAAAGGTACCTAGGGTTTACATTTGAAGAGCAGCTACAATGAATAACAAAATAAATCACTCTGTACAAAATACCTGATGCCTTGGGTTGCAAAAGAAAACAGTTAGTGTCTACACAAAAAACTGTTTGGTGGAGTGGTACAGTCCAAAGTTGCTCGAGTGCTGTTTTGTCATTTGTATGACAAAACATTCCTCGTATAAGTAAAAATAAGATATTCGGACTAGTCCCCATGAATATATACTGTAGATTATGTATATCATATACAAAAATGACTTCAGTTATGTGGTCGCCCATAGTCTGTACTGTACCATATATGAACTTGGTTCATGACGAACATATCCACCCATCTTCTCTTTGGAGGTACGTACCAGGTAACAGGAGACATCTCCAGTACTGTACTGCAAACTTGCCTCCACATAGTACCCTTGTGAAGCAGAGTTAATGAAGCTACCACTGGTTCTATTTTCTATGTCTTTCATAACTGTGGTCAGAGAATGAGTTGTTATTTCAGAATAGGTTTTTTTTCTGAGTATAAATTCTGAACCATTGAAGAAAGAATGCAGTGCTTCACTGGCCTCCTCCTTTGCCTCTTGTGAAGACAATTTAACATCTAGTAGCAGTAGTCTTACTTCCATAAGCCATGATAACCTCTGGTTTTATTGCAGGAACCCACTGTTCTTTGATAGTCTTGTATTTTTTTAATGGCTTTGATACCCAGTCTCATGCTTTGCTAACTAGTCCCTCCCTGACTCTTTAAGTCCTTCTTCCAATATAGCAGATGTGGAGCTTTGGTGTACTGTACTGTTTGCTTCACAGACACCAAAGCTGAAGGCGATCCACAGCATCCTTCCTAAGGGTTGCCATGTTACCTTTGACATTTTCTCCATGTCATTTGAGATTTATGTTTCTTTGAGATTGGTCTACACTTTTCTTTACTTATATAGCAGACCAAGCTTAAAGTGTATTTTGTTTGGGTTTTGAAACTATAGTCTTCCTCTAGCTTGACTTAAGAGATGTGGGACCACACACTACATAGTAAAGTTCTTTGGTTTGTGCTGACTTTGCTACTTTCTTACATCATGGATAGTAGTCCATCTTATTTTTTTACAAGTTTCCTAAAAGAATTATGCTAGAAACAAAGAGGTTTTCCATCACCACCAGATACAGTGTATAGAAAGTAAAAGGATGAAACTGCACAGGCAACACTGTCACTATTTGTGGCGCCTTTACTGAAGATGATACTTGAAGAAAAGAAACAATTCTGTTAATGTGCGTATAAAGTTACCTTGGGCAGATGTGGTACACCTCGGTTACCACTAACAGAGGGATAAACCTATCATGATCCATTACCAACTTTGCTAGTAAAGATGTACGGTATGTCAGCAACTACAGGTAGAATATTGTAAGGAACCTTTACCCTACAGTACAGTATATGACCCAGCAACAGAGAAGGTTTTGATTGATGATATTGTTGCTGCCCAAGATTAATAGAATTAAGAGATTATTCTTTAGGGATTATATTCAGTTACCTTGTGTACACATTTTAATTATGTTTCAGTAATGAAAAGTGCAGAAATTAGGTGATGTACAGTTAAATATTATTATTTTCATATTTCCACAGGAGTTGGTGAAGCATGGTGTACATGACGTGGTTCGTGTTTGTGAACCAACATATAAAACAGATGAACTCAAGAAAGCAGGAATTTCTGTGATGGACCTGGTGTTTGATGATGGAACATTCCCTCCTGCAGAGGTATGGCATACCTCTAACTTAAATATGTTTATACCAGGGTGGGGAGAGTAACTGGGTATAAATTTGTTTTGCAGATCTCTCCAGGCTTTTGTGTGTGCATGCTCAAATGCCTGTTCATTGCTACATAGCCTGAAGTTCCTGTCTCTCTCAAATTAAGATCAGTTTTCACTTTCACTACACCTGAATTGAGTGAATGGACATACATTGCCCCCTTGCTTAATGCGAGTTTATTCAACGTGGATTTGCTCTAACACTTCATTAATATTATTATTATTGTTATTATTATCGCCTGGTATTGTTTAACACTGGGCTAAGATTCACTAAAACCATGGGTTGATCTGGGTTAACACAGGAAAATTCAGGTAGAAAACGTTTTGTGCGGGCCATCGATCAAGTTCATTACAGTCCACGGGTTGCGTCCCTATGTCACATGGGCTCAAAGCTTAGCTATTGCTCGGTCTGACCACAACCAAAAACTTCGCTTGGATTAGATCCAGTTTTTCGCTTGCTTTTGTCACCATGGCTCCTTCTAAACATTCTCTAAAGTGCCCATCTGCCTTGGGACACTCCAGCAAAAAGAGAGTAAGATCACATTTACCCTAGAGAGTAATTTGGACATTCTTCAATGACTAGAGTGAGGCCAATCCGCCACTTCTGTCGAAGTGGGCTCAGTGAACGATTCAGTAATGCTGAGAAGATTAGAGCCATAATTTTGGATAAACTAATTTTTTTTATCAGTTACAAACAGAATGTGCCCCCCCCCCCATATATATATATATATATATATATATATATATATATATATATATATATATATATATATATAAAATAATAATCATTAGGTCAAAAACATAAGATGAATAAACATTTCTTCGTGCGCCAGCAAGATTTAGCACGAGTTATGTTGTGGTTATTTTTCAACTCGTAATTTCAAATAGATTAACTTAACTTTCTTCATATTTTTTTTATTCAGTTACATGCACACACACAATACTACAAACAGAATGTACAAAAACAAATATATTATCATTGGGTCAAAAGATTTATATGAATACTGTAAACATTTCTTCAAGCGCCAGTGGGAGGGGGGAGCGTCCCAGCCGGGCTAGGTTGCTATGGTGAGGCTTGAGGGAGGCCTGTGACTCAGCCATCCTCTCCAATGGTGGTGGTGTTAAACTTTCGGGAACTGATTTCATGGACACACCAGTGTCTCCACAACATCATGTTTAAGTGAATTTGGTAGATGTATGTGTATTAGTTAGCCACTTTAGAGTTGTATGATGCATTTCATCTTTGGTATTGTAGTGTTTTTGGATTCCACCTGATATATCCCTTATTTTCCCAGGTTATTATGAGTTCACTCTACATGGCATTTCTGGGAATGCCACCCCTACTTTACATAAGGGGGCAGTGTATTGTAAAAGTATAATGATGAATTAAAATAGATGGTGATTACTAATAGTGTGTGTATATTCTTTGTATAAAAATGCTGATTCTTGCCATATTACAGATTGTTGATGAGTGGCTGGGATTGTTGCGGCGCCGTCACCGTGAAGACCCTGGATGTACCGTGGCTGTTCACTGTGTTGCTGGCCTTGGTCGTGCTCCTGTGCTAGTTGCCATAGCCCTCATTGAGCTTGGACAGCGCTATGAGGATGCTGTAGAACTTATTAGGCAGTATGTATGGCCATTACTGTTGTGTATGTCAGGTGTGGATAAATACAATAAGCACTGGGAAGAGACTGGAAGCTTTTGATGCTTTCATAGAATGTTAAAATATAATAGGAAAACATATTAAAGATCGACAATAGAAATGGAAATTGAAGGTTTCTGCCTTTTATATAAAATAAAAGGAAAAAATAAGCCAGAGACAAAATGTTATAGGGACATCAGTACTTTTGCACTGAAAGATTCAATAGTGATTAAATGTGTTGTTTGTATAGTAAATTGGTTGTGGGATTTGAGTCAACTAGATGCTGAATCCCTCCCCTGCAAAATAAAAATATTTTTTGTTTTGGACATCGTGTCTGATGTTAGTATTTGTGTGTTGTGGCAGTTTGTTGAGGTAGGCTCAGTTGACAAAAGTCATCCTTGATGCAGAATTTTACTGTGTATTTTAACTTCTTTAGACCTTTACTTTCTTCTTTTTCAGGAAAAGACGAGGAGCCATCAATGCCAAACAACTGGCCTATTTGGAGAAGTACCGTCCCAAGTCTCGACTTCGGCTAAAAAATGGCCATAAGACTGGTGCGTGCTGTGTGCAGTAAAAATTCTTAGTGGAGCATCAGTAGCACCTGAAAATTAAATTTTGTTTAGCGTCCAATTGGTTGATTGCCATATTGATGAATTAGTGATAAATTTTGTCATTAATTTCTGTGGCATAGTTAGCAATGGATTCATTGTACTTTCTTTATACCATTCAATTTCTGTAAAGGAGTGTTTGGTATATGATATCTTAAGTTATCTAGATTTAAAATTTGACGGGACGCTTCTTCACAAATATGAAGAAAAAAATTAAAAATACCAGAAAGTTGGAGTTCGTAGATAGTACTTTAATGAGGCTCATTATTTCTCAAAATATGCAAGGGAAGTGAGCTTAGGAAGCAAGATTGGTTTGGAGCTGTCGGTGAATGCTAACTTGTATTGAGAGAGCCTCCTAATATTCCAGATGAAAGTAATGGCAAAGACATTATGCTTAACCCCCTCTGTTCTGATATAAAGCTCCTGTCTACTAATACAGTACAGTACTTTAAATTTATGGAGTGGTAAATTGTCCTAGTTAAATGAAATATGCCTTTTGGCCTTGTTACCATGACTATACTTGGAAAACTTTCCTGCTTGTAGTAGTCACAGGGGGGAGGGGGGTGGTATATTGGATAATAAAGCTGCCTTTAATACCAAATAGTGAAATCTTAAATACATTGCCCCCTAAGATACCTAGAACTTGAAATATGTTTGATGGCACGAGTAAACCAGCAAGAGTATTAGAAGTCTCTCATTAAATTTTTTATTTTATTTTAAAGTATGAAAAATGTGAAATTTTAAGTGATGCTTTAGTAATGTTTAGTCCAATGGCACGATGTAATGGATCTTTTAAAAACAAAAAGATAATGCGTTATCGAGACATGGCATTGCTAACCCGCCCAGGTTGTTTCTGGTCAGACACATGTGCCTTGACGAGTATGGCAGTTAGCACATATCATGCCCCGACCCCCTTTGTTCCTCTACTCCAGCTGCAGAAGGTGTCTTCAGACTTTGCATAATTAATTTAAGAATGCAATTTTATATATCATGCACTCTTTAGGAACAAAATAGTCTGTGCAGGATTTTATTAATTATGAATTTACAATGAAATGTGAATTTACTTGCATGGCAGGCCAGCCTCTGTAACTTCCTGGCTTAGTAACACTCAAATTTTCTATTTGTAAACATTCTTGGACTGACTTTTGAGCATGTCCTTAGTTCAACAAAAGTAACAGTTATCATTTGTATGAATATTTTTAATGTTTTAATTCTTAAAAGTCTCTCTTCTTTAAAAAGATGTGTTCCAAGGGTGGGGGTGGTGTTGAACTGACTGACTCATCCATTCTCTTATCACCCCCTTTCAACACTATTCACTCCCTAACTGATATAACAGTTTGCATTAAACTTTTCATATTTTTATAAAGAGATGGATTTTTTGTAAATTCTTGGTAAGTTAAAGTGAATCATTTTAATTACCTAACCAATTTGTTAAGATGTTTGTATTTGAAAGCTCCAAATTGTTGGGGTATTGACATTCTCAAATAAGGAATTTCAGATTAGAGAGCTTTTGCTGTAGTTTGTATTCTAATTTTTATCTCTTTTTCTTTTCTTGTTAATTAAACCTATGTTGCATATTCAAGGGGGGTTTTTGTATCATGTAAATGAATTTTTTTTATCATTTATTGACCCTTAGAATTGCAAAAGTATGTGATATAGCAGAATGTGGGTGTACAATATCTAGAAACCTCTCAATTTTCAAAGAGTCAGTCCCTAGAACAGACGAAGACTGGGCACCATAGCGCTAACTGTCAGGTGGAATAAGGTTGATATGTGTATAAAATCCTTTGAATTCAGCCCTTGTGAGCAGTTACCACTATCCTGCCTCGACCCTTCATTTTAAGCATCCTATGCAGCTGAGACTGTGTTGATGATTATGAATGTAAGTTTTGTTCTGGACTTATTATACGTATGATTGAGGAGTGAATGGGTGTTGATAGTGGATCGATGTGTTTACGGAAGTCTTGGCATCTTCCGAACTCCGGTGCTGTTTTGTCTAGTAGACTATGGTTAATGAGGTGAACATCAACAACAACATAATTGACCTTTTCCTTTATTTCATTTTTTTCTTTAATTTTGACCTCTCAAGGTTTTTCTTAACTCTTGCAAGTCCTCTTCCACTATATAGCAGGATTTTTGGATTCGAGCAACACGCTTTATTTGCTCTCATTCATAAAGGGAAAGTCTGTTTTGCTTGAAACCAGTTTATCTGATTTATTAGAATGGACTTTGAAAGTGGGAAGATTTCCACTTTAATCGTGTTAGTTGATTTATTGAGTTATCCTCAGTTATTTTTCATTCCACTTTGAACATATATAAACATTTAGCATAAGTTTGTTCATGGTGTTAATGTCATAAACCAATGAAATATACAATGAGGTCTTCTATATCTTGTGTGTTGTCATTCAAGTCAGCCGGGTAGATTGTATCAGACGGTTTTAGGTTATTATAATTATTTTAAACGTACTTTTTTCAGTTGTATATAGATTTTTAATAACATAATGCTTTGCTGATTCTTAATAACATTTTTCCTTAAATGCTTTCTTAATCTTAAAAAAAAAGAAAAAAGACCAGATTCCTTTTCAAGGTTTCACTCCTTTTGACAAACACGTTAATGGGGATTATTAAAAAATAATTTAGTTTTTAAATTTATTTTGCACTCTGCACTTTCATGTTGTTTAGTTGATAAAAATATAATAACAATATAGAGGAGAAAGGCATGCTATATTGCATCACAATTTTCCCGGACTGATTTGACCTGCCTCAGCTCTGTAGTTATGTAGACTTACATGGCTGTGAACCTATGCCATACTTTGCTAGCCACAAACACCCTACCCTTCTTCTAAGGAGTGCATGGAAGATCTGCCAATGTAAGTCTGAATGTTGTATTGCTTTGAAGCATCTACAGTCAAACCTTGTTTCTTCCAGCCTCAGGGAATAAAATAGAAAAAATTATAGGGCATGTTTTCACTGCTTTGGTGAACTTTTGTCGGGGGATATAAAGCTGATTGAGCTGACAATTATTCTGGGTTGAATTAACAAGGTCTGAGTGTTTTTCTTAGTATGCCAGGGCCAGAGGTGAGCATCTTCACACCAGGCTGATGCACAAAGCTGGAGATAGTGGCATATGGCATTCTGTGTTTGCCAAGAGCATTGTTATTTTAATACTGGCCTCCTGGCTCTGGCATTTGAAGGCCATGATGAAAGAAGCAAATTCCTAAGTGGTGTAACAAATATTTGGCTCTTCATCCTAGAGTCAAAATTCATGTGCATCTATGAAGAATTATTTCTTTGTCTGTTCCTTCAGTAAGTCATCCATGGTGATCACATGCGATGAAGATGGGAACAAATTTTTAAGATAAACTTTTGAATGTTCATAATTATTGTGCAGATGGCTGAGAAAGCTACAGCCCACTGATGTGGGGCACCTAGAGTAGGATTTATACCAAAAATGGGATGTTTTGATCTGGGAAAGAAGGATTTTATAATTAGTTTTTCTTACACAGAAAATGGCTTAGTGGCATAGCAACTTCCCACATTGCTTTTTAGGCTGATGGGAAGCTTTGGATTTGATTGATCTTTGAAGAATGAAGTTTGCATTACAGTACTTAGCAATCTTTTCAGTGCAAGTATGACATCCCATTCTTTGTGTAAACCCTTCCTTGTAGAAGAGATGAGGTGCTACATGCACCCTACAGTAGAATGTAACCAGAACCATTTTAGTCATTCGGACAGCCTATTGTATCTCACCTTGAAGTGTATTTGGTTATGTACATAATTATTATTATAGTTTTTTGTGTTAAGTTTATTCGAAATTCACCCAAGCAGAAGACATAATAGATACATGTGTTGAGTTTGCCAATTTGTATAAGATTTTAACATGGCCCCACATTTTCTTCTCGATGTGTATTTTAAGATCTAATGTCTTGTGTATTTTGGATTTGCTGCTCTTCACTTTTCTAACTTGGGTACTAGACTGAAGAAAAAGGTACCCTCATTTCTTCCAGGACATTTCATCTTTACCTTTCCTGACATTTTTGAGGAGCAGCAGTCTTGGCTATAAAGTTTTGTCCAGAGAAAGATAAGAAAAGTCAGTCATGTTACCATTTCATGTCTTGACTGAAGGAGACTTATGGAATGTATACTTTCCTGCAAAGGTATCTAGACAGTGCATGACAAGCAGGTAGAGTACGTATTCAATATCTTTAACTGTTCATCATTATGAGCTTGGCCACAGGAAAGAAGTGACAATTACTTCTTTGTTCAGAGGATTGTCATATGAGAGCTCCCTATCATTCTCATTATGTGATCAATCTAGAGCAAGAGAACCTTATTTTTCTTCAAATCTTTGTACTCTTAACAGCTATGGTGCCTATTTTTATTTGTTAAAGGCCTGCCTTGCATTTTATCATATATTAAATTTTACATAGAGCAGTTTTGTTTAAAACAAATTTTATATTGCAATATATTTGAATTGATATTCATCCCATGCTGATTATCTTTAAATTTTGTTGTGATGAGACCAGGGATTAATGACTGTTGGTCTTGTCTGCAATGAGTTTTCCAAATATTACAATTGAAAAACTTACTTGCTGAATTCTAAACCAATTGTCACTGCTATGGATCTTGTTGCATGTTGCGCTTTCCCGCATCACCCCACCTCTCTCCTCCCCTCCCAAGACAGTTTCCTGGCCAAGCCCCCAAGTTTGGCCACAAGAGCGTGTAGTGGCCAGCTCGTCATTATTATGTTGGCGGCCCATGCGCCATAGTTGCGCTAGGTGGCCCATGTGTCATTGTTGCGTGGGGCTCCTGGTGGCACCTCTGTGGCATAATTACTGTGGAGCTTGCCAGGCCACACACAGCCTTTGTAAGTGTCTGTATTTTTGGCTAACGATAGCAGTGTGAACTTGTTCATAATAAAATAATGGTTTTTTGGTATAATAATGTTCTTTTAGTTTCCTCCCATTTTATACCCAACAGTCCGGGGTGTCCATGTACAATGTTGCTTTTATTAGCACTGCTGGTGAATTGGGTCCTGCATCTATATAAAGTCGTGCTATGTTCTGTTATTACGTCATTGTCTGCCATAGCAACAATGTTAAAAAGACTGATACCCCAGTGGGTAAAGAATTTATTATTTACTGGGATTTCTGGTCCTGGATTTTTCATTGCTTGGTGTTAGTTCAGTGGTTTTTTTCAAATTAGTTTTAAAGTTGTATTTAAACTTTGTGAAAAAATATGAATTATTTTCTCTATTCTTCACAAACTAATCAAGGAAGACAATAAGAAAACTATACTAAATGAGGATACAGCACTGCCTTGTACCCGTTTCCATGAGTGTTGGTTGTAACCAAGAAGTTTATTTCATCATTCATTAGTATCAAACTTTATAATCTTAAAAACGTCAAATGTACAGAATCTGTTATCCCATTCAATGTGGACATACCTCTGGCAGTTGACTGTAGTCATACCATGTTTCAAAGGTTATTCACCGAAGGCACACTTGAAATTGAGACCATCTACATTGAAAGGGTTAACTCTTATTCACAACTTTAAAATATGTAGAATGTCTTTTGTTAAAACTCTTGACAAGTATAGAATAACTCGCCAAAAATTTTCCCAAAACATCACCCCCCTATTTCCATTAAATCTTATTGGAATTACTCGTCTACTTATTGGAATTTCACTTGTCATATTTTCAAGAAATGCAACTCTGACGTTGAACACACTTAAAAATTTTGGACTGCCACTTGGACTTGAGAAAAGTAAATCATCAATCCTTGCACATCTTTCAAAGTTCAGTGTGCAGGGGATGTCTGCCTTTTGTACTCGTTTATACCTACTGTACTATTATGTAAAAAAAAAAAAAAGCATCGACCTTTTGTAGTCAACAGAGGTGTTAAGCCCTGTCCACACGATCGAGCAGTGCCCGGCGAGCTTTGCCCATTTACCAGGCAAAGCCTGTGTGTTGTACACACGGAGGTGGTTGGCGGCAGTCATAGTCGGGCGCCGGTAGCTAGTAGGTGGTCGGCAGTGGCGGGTGCGGTACGATCACCATGGTGTGTAGCAGGAATAATCGCCGGACATTTAAAGCGAAGAGCATAGGGTTGTGTACTATAATAATTGCTGCTATGTGCAAAAAGAAGAACCAAATGCAGAAAAGGGAATGGTGCAAAGAGTGATTAGGTCGAAGAAAAGTACAGTGACCCCTCCGTTAACGAACTCGATCCGTTCCAGAAGGTCGTTCGTTAACCGAAACCATTGTTTCAATGGGTTTTTGGGCAATTGGTTCCAGCTCACTGAAAATTTCCTAAATTCAACAAAAATGGTAGAAAAGTTCACTTACTTTGAGGTGTGTATGTAGAAGGCTCCTGGATGATGATGATGGGAATTAGAATGGGGGTGGAGGAGAAGGAAGAAGAGAAGGCATTGGGATGGAAGAGAAGTCACCCCATGGCGCCATTTCACCCATAAAATTTTAGCTCTGGTGTAATTCAAGATTATTTTCTTTAAATCAACACTGCACTGCATTATATATTGTCAATATGTAAAATATATTTCAAAATGACCAATAATTTGCTTGGAAACAGAAAAAAAAGCGTTCAGTTGAAGAGAGTCTCAAGCAAGATGTTACCTCCAGTGAAAACAGGGAGAGACTAACTCCTGTTTGCTGTGTTAAGAGGCTGGATGCCACGCATTAAACTAGTCACTTTACCTTCAATTATGTTCAATAATTGTTAAAATGACTAAAAAATTGAATATTAAACTTTTAAAATTATTGAATAGTATAAACTTCTTGATATTTACTAAAATAGTAAGGAATTTAAGCCCTAGAACCGATTAATGTATTGGCGGACTGATACTAAAGCTGGTCGCCCGGTCAGTGCAAGCGAAAACATGTTGAGGTCGGTTCGTAAGAACTTCGTTAACCGAATTGAAGATCCTTATGGAAGGCAGTTCGTTAACCGAGGTGTTCGTTAAACGAGGGGTCACTGTATTGGGAAGTCCTGCCAAGATTTTACGTGAACTGCAAGATGGACGTGAGCAAGACTTCAATTACATGAGAATGGACCCCAACACCTTTTACAAACTTCTAGCGAAAGTGGAACCATGTAAAAAAAAACAGGATACCAATATGAGGAAGAGTATATCTGCAGAGGCTCGTACGACTAGAGGCAACGCTCGTATATCTTTCAACTGGGTGCGCCTACACGTCACTTCAGTATAGAACGAGGATATCAAAACAAAGTTTGTCTCGCATAATACCTGCAACTTGTCAAGCCATGTATGAAGTACTCGAGGAAGATTACTTGCAGGTGAGATCTGTAGTACATAAAAATTCATTGAATAATGTTAGAATTATGATATGCATAGACAGGAAGCTATGGGACTAGAGTGACGAGAGCGGCAGGAACGAAGAACACACATGAATGTCCTCATTACATAATACATAAACAATCTCCCGTTTATTGTCACGCCAATAATGTACATTGCATAAGCTTATTTGGTTATGCACTGGACATACAGACCGAGCGGTGAACATATACGTATCACATTTGCAGTACTTAACTCAGGTTCAGAGTCGTCGCTCCATATCCGGCAGCAAACCCACCAGGCAGGCAGACCATGATTTCGCTCAACGACGGGCACGGGCACTGCTGGTTTGCCCGATAACGGGCATTTAGCGCGTGCCCACCGGGCACTGCTCGATCGTGTGGACTGGCCTTTAGAAGTTGTTGAAAGATCCAAACAACTGGTAAGAAGAATAGTGGCAAGAAGCATCATCTCCAAAATGTGAGTGTAAAGTACTGTATTAGTAGTTTAGAACAGAGAAAGAAAATGAAGGTTTACAAGACATCAACTACATGTTAGAGTAGAAGTGTAGAAACTAATTATGTAGTGGGACAAATAGAAGCATGATATAAATTAGCATTTTACATGTACCATGATGAAAATAACTTCCTGAATTCAAAAGATTAAGGAGGCAGAGATAAAATTTTTGCGATAATATTGTAACTGTAGAGCAGCTATGTAAGGGATTATAGCTGTAATGAGGAGTAAATTATTGGTTTTATATTTTATTTATGCATTACAGGGTATAAAAAAAGTGTTGGAAATTGATAGGAATTTTTTTTTCTTCACATTTTCATTAAAATATGTTCTTAAACCATAAAGTAAGAGTTAATTGTAAAATTTGCTAAATTTACTAAAATATATACAGTAGTATAAACAGAAGACATACATGCAGACTCTTAATCAACCCAGCAGATACTGTAATATGAAAAAGGCACTTCATTGTATAAAACCGTTCACCGGGGACAACAATATTTTTTGTTTGTTTCTTTTTAGTATACTTAAGCATTTAAAAATTTTTATTAACAAATATGGCTGCAATCTGTTAAATATTTAGAATGTGAAAGTGGACCCATAGGCCTGATGGGCTGTTATCAAAAGAATGGATACAGCACACTAAATATTAAACCGTCTGTACAAATTGAAGTACTGTGCTATATTGTGGCCAGGCACTGTAACTCAATTGCATTTCTGTAACTATAAAGTGAAGTTAATATTCACAACTGGGTAGACTGGAGGTGGTTCAAACATGAACTGAGAAGAACTCTTAAGATAGGAGAAAAATACAGTATCTTAGGTATTGCAGCCTACACAGTTGTAATTTCTGGAGTATTTTTGCAAAGTAAAGCAACGAGCTGCATATAAATACCTTCACATATTACTATGTATTTTAATGGATAAAACTAATCAATTTAGTAGTCCAGAAAATTTTATAGCATTAAAACTTGCCAGTCATGATTTTAAAAATTCTTTAATATTAAGGTAATGCAAACTATTGAAAGGGATTCATGTGGAACATAATAAACATAAAGTACTACTGTATATACATAAACAGGAAATACATAGCTAGCGAGAAGTCTTGAGTTTGGAAATATTAGCCAAAATATTATTTAATCACCGATGTAACTGCCAAGCTTACAAATTGAATGGTGAAAATTATTCTGAAGTGGAGGTGAAATATATAGATTATTAAACTTTATCCATGTATTGGACCGATAACTCGCCTTAAAAGAAACCAGTCCCTGATGTGCGTCGTGCAAAGCTACATATCACGTACCGAGGGACAGAGAAGCAACACTGCCATATCCTACAGTCCGCTTAACCCTTAGGCCCGGGGTGACTTTCCAGAACGTCCGCCTTTTTCTCGACTTTTTGTGGGGGGGGATGTGGTTCCTGCCAGCAGCACCCTAACCCAGGGCTTAAGGGTTAAGCAGTCCACTGAAGAGGACCAGAGGTTTCACTCGTATTATATCTTGTATATTATCTATTTCTCCTGGGTTTAGTTCGGTTATTCTTTATTTCACATAAAATATTTTTCCAATCCTCGGGTTTCTTACCTTTCAGGTCTGGGTACAATAGCCAGAACTTGATTCTAATTTTTGTCTTTGCTACTAACCGTTCCACCTCAACCCTTTCACTTACAGACAATTTCATACTGTTTAATTTTTCTGCCTTCTTCACTCTCTTTCTTATTAGCTTAGTGAAAATTTTCCATTCCTCCTTCTTTAATAGTATGGAAATTCTTTTTTTATCTTTTTCAAGTCTCCTCATCTTCTCCATTTTCAAGAATTTATTAAAGTCTTTTACTGCACATATTTTCTTTAGATTGTTATTAACTCTCTGATAATGCTTTACAAACTTCTGAGTAACTTTTGATTCGTCCTTTAAAAGTGATGGACAGTAGTGGTCCAATCCATTCTTACTCTTCTTGTTGCTTTCTAACATGTCAGTGTCACCCTTCCTCTTTTTTCCTCTGCTAACAGATGAATTTTTAGCTGTTCCAACACTTTTATTCATGATTTGAATTCCAGTCTTTAGGCTGCCAGAAAGATGCTTTTGTTTCTTAACACCATTAATTAGACTACTAGACTTTCTGGGGAGCTTCTTTTTACTATCTACACTAACTCCAATATCTTCTTCAGGAGTCATTAATAATGCACGAGGTCTGTAGTCAACATCAAGCTCAGTTTTTTCACATGAGGGTCTCTTAGCTTGTATACAGGACACTGCTTCATCTTCAATGTCTACCAAGCCTCTTTTATGTCCTGCTGGTTCATTTAACTGGGAGTCTGTTATAGTTTTATCTTCCTCTTCCTTGAAGATGCTCAATAAGCTCGACGACTGAACGTATTTCCCAGTTTCTCTGTAATAATACGATTTGTAATATAATTAAGGAACATTAAACTTGGTCTACACTAAAATGAAAGGTAACTTCTTATCTGCTGTTTTCTCAAAATTTGTTGGGTAGCACCTCCGCCCCCTAACAAACAGGGTTAGCTTTGCCTGGAGACTTGACAGTAAATTATTGACTCGGTACAAACCCCAGCATATTCATCCCCATCACCACTAGGGTTTCTCAACTGGAATTTGAGAGGGAGAGGGACAAATGCCAAAAATCTCAGGATTTCTCAGACTACAGAGCAATGGAATTAATGAAAATTAACAAAATCATCTCTATTCCCCACCCTAACTCAACTCGGGAGACAGGTCATGTGACCTGGTTCCTTTTGTCTTTCTTCCTTGCTTTGTTCTGTTAGTTAGCTGGTAGCTGATTTTGTCTTTTATTTCTCCAATGTGGGTTTACTTCATTATTTCTTTATGTACAATACATTTAAAATTAATTATATCTGCACAATAATTATAAATAACAAATTTTAAGTGGCAGTCAAGGCGACTTTTCGGAACTGCTTGGTTATTTCGGATTAATTCTGAATATAAATCATTTAATTAATTTTTGAAAAATCCGAATTAACAAGGGTACAGTGTATATGACTTAAATGCGGAATGATAATAAATGAAGTAAAGGACAACATGCCCTGACAATTCGTGATCCTCGATTATTCGTGGATGACACCCTGGACGTACCCAAGAATGTCTGCGGGTAGTTTTAAAATTGCGGGCATTTTTGTGGCCGGGACAAGAAGCCATTCATTCTAGATATAGCAATTTTCTCAAGGAAAAAAATTGCCGTTTGGCAACTCAACTTTAATAACAAAGCACGGAGTTGATTCTCACATCTTTTCTACATTTTGTTGTCCTGCTTCTGATTATTTGTACCAGCAAATGATATTTGTGGATTTGGCTATTCACAGCCATTTTAAGACCTAAACTCCCACAAATTTTAAGGGCATGCTGTACAGTATGTGTCGTAAAATTGAGCTGCGTTATGAAACACGTGCCCCAGTACTTGCACTCAGTGTACAAATATCATAGCAACAATGTATTCCTACTGGAAAAAATTGGTATCTATTAAAAAATTTTCACTTCTAGGCAATTTCTGGTACATACTTGTAGGTCATAAATGTGGTTGGTTTATTGCTGGTGTAGACATGAAAAAACACTTTTGTATACAAAGAAGAAAAATCTGTGCACCGTCTATGAATGTTAAATCCGTCCTCATACCTATATGAACACAAAATAATTGCCAGAAACGTAAAAAATATTTTAGACATTTCTTTTTGGAACTGTAAATAAAAGTATTGTATAAAAATGCTTTTCTTGACATAATGAACATTACTCGTATAAATGCTTTCCTTGTTTTCTCAATTTACAGACTGGATTGATGAAATATGAATATAAAGTACATGTACAGCGGAAGTGTACTGAACATTTAGGATTATTTAAAAACAATCAAGATAAGTATCCTGTAGGTTTTTTTTACTCTTGAGCACTTTACCACTTTATGGCAAATGGCTGGAAATAAGAGCAAGCCCATTTCATTCAATGTTATCCATTTATTCAATCACTATTACTGTTAGAAAATATGTGTTCTGTAATATTGTTTTTACAAGCAGTGACCAGCTCATTGATCAGTAAATACGGGAAAAGAAGGCTGACCAAAAACAGGTCATCTGCTGTGTTTAGTTTGCATGAACCTGGAGGGCAGTAAGGTGTGAGTAGGTTGTAAACATGGAAAATCTTCTCCCAGTCAATCATTCAGGAGACACTAAAAACTGTTTAACCATTACAATTGTATACGTGAATCTTAACTGGAAAAGTGAATTGAATCAAGGTTTTATAGAATAGTATTGTTGAAGTACATTTTATACAATAGGAAAAATAGGGTATTTTAAAGTCATAAATAGGCAATAAATAACAAGGCATTGAGGTGTTGCTCAGAAAAATAAATTAGTTCCAAATGTTACTTACTTGACTATCACAGAATTACTTTTAACTTCCAATGAACTACAATACTTGTGGAGATCATCTGTAAGTGCTTGAGGTAGGGATCCTTGAGTGACCACCCCAGGCACACTACCACCTTTCAGTTGTTGTACCCAAGGGAAGATATCATCATACAACTTGGCCAACTGCCCAGATAAATCAAGTGCAAGTGCCCTGAAAATGTAATGGGCAGAGTAGGGAATCTATAGCTACCATTTAAAGGTTAATCAGCAAATTAGTATGCAAACTTTGAGAAAATAGAAAAGTGGATAATTTTCAAGATTGTGTATCGTTAATTATTCTCACAAGACAAAAAAATCCAATTAACAATGAACCAGCTGTGTGAGTTTAATGACTTTGACCTTAAAACTGGGTTTGAGAGAAGGGTAACTCAAGACATCGGGAAACAGATTAAAATAATTTCATTGCCCAAATGAACAATGTAATTCCCATTGAGTCTGTTAATAAATCCCCTGAACATTTCCATTATGTCCAGTACACCCTGTACTGTAATTGAGCATAACATAATTCCTTGAAAACAAATACAGGTGTATTTCAAAGACCCCTTCCAGTGGGATAACCTTTGGTTGTTATGCAAATGTAAACATTAAACACAGGAATACACCTATAACATAAAACTAATAGCCAGGACTACAGGGTCTATATGTCTCCCTTCATATAAAAGTCCACAACACAGTAACGGAAGCATCAGCTGTCAAAAATAATGAGCAAAGCAGGAGTAGCACAGAGTAGAGTTGGTCCTGTCATCAGTGATAGGTTGTTGAGTACATGGGCAAGGACTCTGCTCTCACCTAACTGGAAACTTACACTTCTAAGTACAGTACTACAATTCCTTTTGAAGGCTAAGATTGTGTCAGGAGAGATATTATTTTCAGAAATGTAGTCCGTCACACATGTCAGTGGCCAGGGAGGGAACCCTAGGTTGTTGAGCCTAAAGACCTGTTGAATAAGTCACCAATCCCCTGCATGAGTTGACAGATAATTTGAATAAAAATATATACCTGTACAGTACTTCATTAACGGTAAGAGGAATTTCCTCGACGTGAAAGGAAGAATGTACATGGCTGGTGTAAGGTCAGTAGTGTGATATTGTTATGGCAGTAAAACATGATCAATTAAAGAGGCTGGAGTTGAAATGGAAATGGTGAGGTAGATGTGTAATGTAGACAGAAAAACAGGAGGCCCTTTTCAGAGCTAAGAAGGCAACTGGGTAGTGAGAGTACAGTACAGGCATTGGTGAAATTCTGAGTAGAGGCAGGCTGAGATGGTTTGGGCATGTAGAGTCAAGATGTGCAAGTCTAAATGTGGATGAGAGGCATGGCAGGGGGTAGGCCAAGGATAACAGGAGTGAGAGGTTGTAAGAAATGACATTTGAGTTAGGAGCCTGACAAGAGACCGTGCAGCATGAAAGCTGCCATCATGTAACCATGGCTAACCCAAGCAAGTGTAAAAAATGACTGTAAATCGATAATGATGAAACTTAAACAATATTGTAACTACCTTTTTCTTACCTTATTCGAGCCACATTGGCTAAAAATACCATTGCTGTACTGAAGAAATGGCCAGATGAAATTTTTGACATGAGATAGCCACTTGCCTCCCTACAATACCCATCTAGACTGAGCAGAAGGTGAAAGCCTCCTAACACTCTGATCAACAAATACTCAAACATTTGTTTTGATGGCATCCGGATGGGTCTGTTGAAATAAAACCATTCTAGTAACTCACCACTAAGAAAAGAATACAAAATATAACACTGTATGCAAGTCTGAATTCACCTGACAACAACATACAATCTTTATTATCAAAGTACAGTAAATGACAACAATTTGTTTGAAGAGATCAGCTGCACCCTTTGACCTTAAAAAATGTTTTAAAGATGATTAACAGTGTCTGTTCAATAACAAACTGCCCAGTATTAACTTGTACTTAGGCTCAAAGCAGCAATCATGCAATTTGTGACACTGAAATTTCTGATCCATCAAATTTCTAAAATACGGGTGTGACATCATGGTCAGTAAGGTGTTTCATGTTATTCTATCTATTTTTTAGCAGAAGTAAATTTATGTGGCACCTCAGTCTTCTGCCTAATATTTACTCACCTTTGTGCAGGAGGAATGGTAGGCATCATCTGACGAAGATTATCCAAATTTTCCCTCAAATTAAGCTCCTTCCAGCGCTCTGAACACTTCTCCACCTGATGGTATAATCATTGAATTTTAGAGAATATAAGAAAATTGAGATACAGAACTTTGATATGTAATTAGGGAGGAGGTAATGATGGGTGAAATATTAATGGGTAAAACTGAGGATAAGTGGGCCAGTGAAGGCAGAGATTGGGATGGTTGAATGAAATTAATAGCTGGGTCCGAGAAGAGAAGCAAAACTCTAGGAGGATTGGCAAAGACAGCCTGAAAAACATCTGGAGGGTAATGGATGCCAGTCCTTAAACATGACTGAGTGGTTGAGTAGCATTATTAAAGCAATGAATCAAATTTTACAAACTTTGTAACTACTACTGCTACTTCACTAACTACTTCAATAATCGGTCTCTATATCAACACTCAGATGGCATGGTTTGTATATGCGTAAGATTGTTGATATACTGTACATACATGATCCTCCCTAATAATTTATTTTTTATTTAACACACTCAGAAAGACACACCATTAGCTACTATAAAGTGATTGGTGAGTGAACTAACCCTCTTCAAAACTCTGTAAAACTTCTCAGTGCGATGTCGACCATTTTGAAAAAGTGTTGCTGTGAGAATTGCAGCCTCACGTTGAAAACATCCCGACACTTCTGTATCACATAAAACAGCATGGCCACACAGGACACCCTCGAGCAGAGATTGTGCGCAAACATCTGTTGATCAAAAGGATGTTATTTACGATCTACCACAACTATAGATGTCTGCAGCAAACACATTAGCTCCTTGTGTAAAAAAAAAAATATCTTAAAGATGTCATTAAAAACTCACAACTGTTAAATCAGAGATGTTAATTTATTATATTTATTGTTTCTTGTTTTTGGTGATCTTGTATTTAACTGACAAAAAATCATCTATCCACCGTGTTCTTTTGAGGATGGATCTATCAGTTCCATTCATAGACAAAGATTTTAACATAATGAAGCAATACTGTGTCTGGTAGCTTCAGATACACCAGATTTAAATACAGCTGTATTGGCTTGCGTGATTTAGGGTTTGTTTAATGCATTACCTCAGTTTGTATCATAAGCAACAGTAAAGAAATACCAAATATCAGTACCAAAATTATCTAAGCGCCGCTCCTCCTGTGTATATTTAATGCTGTAGTCAGGAGGCCTCGAAATCTCTCGTTTGTTCCACACTTCCATTACTGAAGTTATTAATGTAATTACTATGCAAAAGTGTATCAGAACGGCAGTGACTTGTGACACCGTCCTAACACGAGTGGTGGGTCACGAGTACTAGCCTAACAATATTTACTTACAAAAACATGAATGAATTGAAAAGGCTGGCTATAATTACATATGTATGCACATTCGCAAAAATAATATAAACAACATATTTATATATATATCGATGAGGAAAGATATCAATCAGATTGATATAATCATCGTCATTCGTCACGGAGGCAAAATTAATACAAGATTTAAAAATGAAGCTATTCTAATCACATTACCTGTGTTTATACTACGATTAAGACTATTAAGGTAAGAAATGTAAACGTGTTATACATGTGCTATTAGGTTTAGAGTTTTACGCTCGTAGTGCTGCTCCGAAACGCGGTTGATGACGTCACATTCACACACGGTGACCTACCCCAGCCTCGCCCTGTGTCGGGGGTTGGAGCAGGTCAGCAGTAACCAGTACAGAATTTATGGTTAGCTGTGGAAGTCTAATGTTTAAAGTTATAAGATTGGCAAATTCATTTTCACAATTTGAGTTGGCAAACTTGTCACTTCGCTAGAGTGCAGTTTTACAGTTATTCATACTGTACTTGTCTAGAATCTGACCATTGTAGACAATATAAACAGCACTTCTCTCTACTGCCTTCCACATCCCTTACTGTAAAGCTCGAAGAGGATAAGATAAGAATGTCATGGCTGAGGGTTTTAGATGAAAAAATATTTGTTGGAATTATATCAAGGATTTGTGCAGTAACGGCTGACTGTTCTATTCATGATTCTGAAACGATTGTCAAGGCCAATTTAATAATTTTTGAGGTTGTTAGACAATTCAGCATCATATTATTCCTAAAATAAATTTTTAACTGGTATACTGAAGCCGATAGTGTGCGTGCCACTCTCCATTACCTCCTGGGTTCGAGCCCGAAGTCAAGGATAGATAAAGAAAGAAGTTCCCTAATGCATAAACGTTTTTAACACAGCTGTATATATATTTAAGTGACAGTATAATTAAGTTAAATAAATTCTATGTTATTATAAATAGTCTAGCATAATATATAGGCCATTAAATCACGTTTTTAGTCTTATTAATAGAGAGTAAAATGCGATAAAGTTAAAGGAACTGCGCACGCCCAGAGACCAGAATATTAGTAAACAAACAATTTACCTGGTAGCGAAGTTGTCAACCTGTCACCTTTGCCAGTTAGAAATTATACACAACTACAGTACCACGTTACCTGTGTATGGGAAACAGCAGATGCAGGTATGTGCTTATTTTAATTCTAGTAACTAATCTTCTAAAGTTAATAAAGCAGCAAAGGCAAATATACGGCTGGTGTACAACCTCCTCTAATCTCAAACCCTCTTTCTCCCCCTGATTCTCCCACAGGTTTTGTGTCACTAGACGGAGTTATTACACGTAGCGGTCGAGTCGTACGTACACCTGCCCGGTAAGTGTTATGTGTGGGATGCAACCCGGACAACATCCAGCCTCCCGCCGCGCCGGGAGGGGAGGGGGAGTATTGTAGTGGCTCCTCTCCCCTACAACTCCCAACTGAGCTCCGGCCGCGCGCCTACCAGCCAATCAGCGTACAGCCAGCTACGCCGAGAGACTAGGTCTATGCAGAGGACGCAGGGGTACGATGGCCGACCTAGTCTCTACCTTCAACCTCTGGTTCAGGATCAGAGCGTTTCACACCTTACGTTTGAGCCGCTGTGATTGGTCCTCTCGTTACGCTCACCCCAAATCCTGATCCTCGTAAATTGTATAAATACGGCCCATACAAAGAGAATTGACAACTGGCCACTTACAGTACGCTACAGCAGCAAAGGCAAATATACGGCTGGTGACCGTCAGTGGTTAAGTAATTATGAGGTTTTTATAGAGTTTTGGTAAAACTGCAGTTTTGGACAATGCCCCTAGTAGTTGAGCAATGTGTTTTACGATTGTTTAGACAATTTTAAAAAACTTTTCTTCTATGATGATTCCTGTATATTTAAGTAATTTGCGAGAGATACGTTATAAAAGAAGTGTCTTAAAATTGTCTAAGCAATCGGAAAAACACATTGCTCAACTCGAGATCCATATTATCCGAAATCGCAGTTATGCCACAATTTTGTACACTGATTATGCTTTTCCTTCTATTCATTTTCTTGTGCAAATGTTTAGTTTTCTAGATATAGGCGAGTTAAGATATAGGTTAGGTCAGGTCAGGTTTTCTTAGGTTTGTTTAGGCTAGCACATGATTTCACCCATTTTAATATTTTTGTCCAACATAATTCTGTACAGTGAAAATTGGGGGTGAAATTTCAGTCATGCACCGGTCTTTCTCTCGCTGTTATTAATATGCTTTTCGTAATGTTTAGACAATTAACATAAGAACATAAGAATGGAGGAAACTGCAGCGGGCCTATTGGCCCATACTGGGCAGTCCCGTTTACACCCAACCCCTATTGCTCATATAAGCATCCAACCTATGTTTGAAGCTATTCAGCATATTCGAGTTAATGATGATATTTGGTAACTTGTTCCATTCATCCACTACTCTGTTTCCAAACCGAGTATTTTACCTGACTACGCCTAAATCTAAATCGGCCTAATTTAAAACCATTATTACGAGTTCGCGCCTGAATGGAAAGTTTGAGTACCTTTATAATGTCCCCTTTGTTTAGCCCTGACTTCCATTTATACACCTCGATCATGTCGTCCCTCACTCTACGTCTCTCGAGGGAGTGCAAATTAAGATGTTTTAACCTGTCTCTGTACTCAAGGTTTCTAATGTCCAGGATTAGTCTTGTCATTCTCCTCTGAATTCTTCCAAGGATTCATATCCATTCTATGTCGGTATTAGAACTGGCGAACTTCGTAATCCAGGGTGTGGTCCTGAAACGGGATACAGTTTTAGGATGACCTCATTAGACTTGTAACTGGCACTCCTTTGTATGAACTGACCTTTGCCAGCCTTGTTATGAGCAAAACACATTGTTTTGCATAAAAGCTTCCGGGTTCCTACTTATCATTATACCAATCTCTCTGGTCCGGTTCTCCTGTGGCATCGTTGTTCATCTGGTGTCTGGTTTCATGTTTGCATCTCCTATCACTGAGTACTTTACATTTATTAAGCGTTGAATTTCATCTGCCATTTTTCAGACCGATATTGTTTAGATCTTCCTGTAGTTTGCGAGTCCTCGTCAGATTTAATATAGCGTCTATTTTAGTGTCATCCAGCAAATTTACTTGTATTTGCTATCTATACCGATATCTATATCGTTTATGTATATAATAAATAATAATGGTCCAAGTACTGAGCCTTGGGGAACACCACTTGTGACGTTGCTCCAATGGGACTTAGTGCCGTTAATGCTCACTCGCTGTTTCCTGTCCTGTAACCACGCCCTAATCCATTTAAGGATGTCACCTTTGATGCCATGTGCTTCTACCTTTCTAATTAGTCTTTCGTGGGGACTCTGTCGAAGGCTTTGCTAAAGTCGAGATATACCACATCATAATTGTGCCCCTCGTCCACCGATTCGAAAACTGATGAAAAGAATGTTAATAGATTAGTTAGGCAAGAGCGTCCGCTTGTGAAGCCATGTTGGGAATCATTGATCAATCTGTGCTTCTCCAGGTGATTTCGAATAGAGTTTGAGATGATTGCTTCCAGTAATTTGCCTACTATTGATGTTAGACTGATTGGGCGGTAGTTAGAGGATAGTGATCTATCCCCCTTCTTGAAAATCGGTATTACATTCGCTATCCTCCAGGATTCTGGTACTACACCTGTTTTTAAGGACATGTTAAACAACTTTGCTAAGGGCATACTAAGCTCTTCCTTACATTCCTTTAATACTCTGGCAAATATCTCATCAGGACCAGGTGACTTATTAGGCTTTAGTTTGTCTATTTGCTTACTAACATCGTTACTGGTCACTACTATCTCACTTAATTTGTTTTCTTCACTATCTCTGAATAGAATCGGTGCCTCGGGTATCATGTTTAACTTTTCGGTGGTGAAAACTGTTGAAAAATATTTATTCAAATTATTGCTCATTTCTCTGTCATTATCAGTGAGCTCGCCGGTGTCTGACCGTATTGGTCCAATCTTTTCTCGTGTTTTAGTTTGATACATTTGGTAGAATACTTTGGGGTTTGTCTTAGCCTCCCTTGCTATCCTTACCTCATTATTCCTCTTTGCTTTCCTTATCTCGGTTTTAACCCTACTCGCCAATACCCTATAATAGTCCCGGAGGTGAATTTCGCCACGATTTATCGTTCTACCTATAGCCTTCCTTTGGCCAATGATGTTCCTTAAATAATTATTAATCCATTTAGGGTCATTGTTGTCTGATCTGAGTTTTTTGTATGGTATGTTCTGCCTTTGTGCATTAAGTAACCCACTATTTAAATTGTCGTGGAACTCGGCAATCTCAGATCTCGTTATCAGGTCGGTGTCATCTGACAGGTTCACGGCCAAGCGCGACACCCCCTCTCTCAGCTGCCTCTTTAAACTGTCAAAGTTCGCCCTTCTGAAATCTGGTACTTTAGTGGAATTTTCCTTACGTCTGCCCTGAAAGTCTAACTGGAATCTAATTTCTTTGTGATCGCTGTTTGCAAATTCGTTCCCTACCTCGACCCTGCTAATGAGGTTTTCTCTGTTTGACAGAACTAAATCGAGTATATTATTACCCCGTGTGGGTTCAGTTATATGTTGACTTAGAAAACAGTCCTGGATAGTCTCGAGAAAATCCTCTGATTCTGAGTTACCTGTAAGGTCAGTCCAATCTATTTGGCCAAGGTTAAAGTCGCCTACTATACAGACTTTGTTGTGTATGGAAGCCCTGCGCATTTCATCCCAGATAAGTCGCTCTTTGACTCTATCAAGATTGGGAGGTCTATATATTACTCCTGTGATTAATTTTTCTCTACCGTCGATTAATTCTATCCAAATTGTTTCTGTATTCCGCTCAGTTTTTATTTCCTTATTTATTTCACACTTCAGATTATCCCTAACATAGATTGCTACTCCGCCTCCTTTCCTGGTCTGCCTATCGGTATGGAACAGTTTGTAACCCGCAATTTGGTATTCGACTGGTAACTCACGTGTGTCTAGGTTGATCCATGTTTCAGTGAATGCAATTATATCGATTTTTTCGGTACATACCAAGGCCCTAATATCATCCATTTTGTTTCTCATACTTCTACTGTTTGCGTAGTATACATTTAAGTTAGTCGTGTTCTGAGTCCTCCCCTTACCGCGTTTAGTTTTAAACTCCCTGTCTAATTCAGTTTTGTCATCATTCCTAACACTATTTCCCTGTAATCTTTCACTTTGTTTACCCGCTCCCACTGCAGTCTCCTCCACCCCCGTGCTCATATGTTCTCCTAGCAGTTTAAAGACTTCGATATCTTTTGAACTGCCCCCTCTAGAGCCCCAGCCAGGGTTGCTACTCCATCCCTAGACAGGTGCACCCCATCCCTAGCATAAAGGTCCCTTCTGCCATAGAAGTTGTCCCAGTTGTCAATGAATGGGACTGATATTGACTTGCAATATCTGTCAAGACGGTCGTTGACACCAACCGCCCTTGACAACCATTCACTGCCAACTCTTCTTCTAGGCAGGACACCGCATATGATAGGGATCCCTCCCTTAGTCCTAATACGATCTATAGCTGCCTTGAACTTATCAAGAAGCTCCTCACTCCTACACCGGCCAATATCATTGCCGCCTTACATGACGGAGGTCAACTATTAAGCCACGCCTACCCCCGCTATATAAGACCTGACCTCGTGGTGACCTCTCTCTTTCTACCTACACCAACCAGCAGCAACACCTCCTCCTCCTCCTGCCTGGCGGTCCTCGCTCCCGCCGGCGAGCATGGCGACCCACAAGCTGTCCTCCCCTGAGCACCCTCACCAACCAGCTCTCTCTACATCACGCTTGTAACCACGCTGCCTTCCCAGCACCAAGCTGCATTGTACATCCAATACAACATGTATACAGAGAGCACATTGTGAGTTTCCTTTCTCCATCCCATCCTGAGTGTGAACCAATATCTCGTACCCCACAGGCCTATAGATTTCACTGAGAAGTTTCTTAAATGTGTTCCTAAGGGTGAAACTGAGTGGTTCTCGGCCATTTTTTTAAACACTCGGGGCAGCAAGTCCGAAGAGCAATCCCGAATATCGAGTTACTGTTTAGTAACCCGTCAAATGGATTCGTCAAACTCGAATATCAATCCCGGACATCGGGTTACTATATATTGTGCATGCCCAGCACTTGCCACAGTGTGTAACAGAGACGTGAGTCACGTGGGTACGTAACTTACACTGCCCAAGCGGCTAACGAGCCGATCAGTGACGAAGAGGATAAAAGTAAAAGAGTAATTCGTGTAAAGAAACTACGGTAAAGACAGCATTTGTATTGAAATAAGAATACAATCAAGGCACGTCAAACATAATTATAATAAACTGACATGAAAAATTAATCTCAAATGTAAGGTTTATTGTCAAAACGTGTCCGGTCATTAGTGTTTGACCCCGCGCCTGTAACCCGCGCTGAAAACCAATTAACTAACAAGTCATCACTAATATGTCAACGATAACAAAGTGGATGCCGCATATCAAAATAAGACAAACTGTTTCTATAGCTTTGCTGGTTTGCAAGTATCGACCTGCTACCGGCCGTGGTGTCCTTTAACATTAGTAAGTTTAACCCCGCGGTCCTCACTAGTTGACATAAGTGGTTGTTTACTGTATTATTATAGTGAGGTTATATGTATATCCTTCCTGTTATCTGAGACGGTGGGTCTTATTTATTGGTACGTGACTAACTTATTGTACTCCAGTCATATATATTCGGATATGTCTATTAGAGATGAGCGAGGGACTACATAAATGGCTTATGATAGTGAACTGTCTTGTTAACTTGTTTATCCCGAGACTACTGTATGGTTGTGATAATTCTTTTATCCTCTTCACCACTGTAAAATGGTTATATATTGGCCACAGCATAATGAAAATAAACTCAGAACTGATTTGAGCAAGGATCAGTCACTGAGCTTTAATAAATACAATGGCTGGTTATTTTGTCTTGTAGTGATGCTCAGTGGTTCCTTCTTGCTGAGGTCTAATGTAATTCAGTAAGGATTTGTTTGGTAAAATTGTTGGAGAAAGGCTGGACCATAAAATAATTTCGGTAATTATAGAGGACTAACCCGCTAGCGAAATTGATTCCAAACAATTATAAAAACGCCGGATTTTCATTGTTATATTATAGTGAATTCTGTTGTAGTTTGTGGAAATATTAAAAAAAAGCGATATTTTTTAAATAAATGCGACTTAACATTTGTCGTTATGAAGAAGAGACCTAACCAAACAAACCTACCTAACCTTACCTAACTTCCCCGATATATTAAAGAGAAAGAACTTAATATGATATAGTGAAATTTGAGGCATTTTCTGGACGCGAGATGATATGACCGCATCGGCGCTATGCAGCCCTGGCGGGTTAGCCCTATATATTAACCATAATTTCTCATAACCCGTGCTAGACTCTTGCTACCCTGTATAATGGGAGCAATTAGTAATGCTTGGCAGTGTTGCATGTTAACCTGGAGCCTAAAGAAATTTTCCCCAAGAAAGTAAATGCTTTTTGCTTCATGAAAATTAAAAAAAAAAAAAAAAATTGGCATAAATTTTTTTTTCAATATTTTCTTCCTTAACACTAATCTTCATTGCACTAATACACCATATTCACTGTTTACATGCCAAGTGTTTCTTTTCATTAACGGGAATACTTTAAAAATTTGACCAGGTACTGCTACCTTACACGATTTATTGGAGATAAGGTGAACTAACCTATCCTACCTATCTATGGTATGTTAGGTTGGTTCATTTTACCTTTGATAAATTATATGATTTAACAATAGGTGCTAATTGGTATCAGTGAAAGCGTTACACATCCGGCCAAAAGGCAAAGAGGCCAGAAACCTCAAAAACAAGCACAAGGTCATACAAATTATATCAAGAGAGATTCTGCCAAAAGAGACAAAACTAAAACTAAATTTTACTAATCCCAGTGATTCCCATTGAAAATTTCACCCAAAACTTTTATTGCAGGCAATATGGGTCGTTACAGCAGTAGTGACAGTGAGAGTTCAAGTTCTGAAGGACATTCACCACCACAGCATAGCAGGAAAAACTCTACTGCTAAGAGTCACAATAGTGGATCCAGAAAGAAAAGAAGTCCAGTAAACCGAGCAAGGCATAGATCCATGTCACAATCTGAAGACAGTAGCAGTCGCTCAAGATCTCCAGATAGAAATACCTCAAGAAAATTGGATATTAGAAGAAAAAGATCAAGGTCTAGAGACAGGAATCGTCGGTCAAAATCTCGCAGCAGAAAACATAGGTCAAAATCTCGCAGCAGAAACCATAGGTCAAAATCTCGCAGCAAAAACCACAGGTCAAAATCAAATGACAGAAATCATAGATCAAAATCTCATGACAGATATCGCAGGTCGAAATCTGGCGACGGGAATCACAGGTCAGAATCACGTGATAGACATTTTAGATCCGAGTCACGTGGGAAAGTGCATAATGCAAACACAAAATTGAGGAATAAAGAGAGTAGTTCTAGGTCAAGATCTAGGTCACGCTCTCGGTCTAGATCACATTCAAAGACCAGGCAAAGAATAAGAGACATATATAATCAAAAGGAAAGTGCGGCTGACAGAGAGAGACGTGATAAAAAACGTGCGAGGACTCCCAGCAAGCCAGAACAAAGTGATAAGATCCATGGTAAAAACCGTCACAACAGAGACCGCTCAAGATCGCGTGAGAAAGAACAAGTAAGAAGAGACCAGAGATCACACAAAGATCAATTTCATTCTAGAAATGGTCCAGGAAGGAGATGGTCAGAATCCCCAGATGGGCGTCAAGGTGGTAGTGGATTCCAGAGAAATCGAGAACATTCCCCACCCACACCAGATGGTAGATGGGGACACAGTAAGTTCCTTGAACAACAGAGAGAGGAAACATTTTCAAGAAATAGAGACAGAGGAAGTTATAGATTTGCAGGTGGACAAAGAGGCGGCAGTAGCTACAGAAATGGAGGAGGTTACAGAGAACGAGGTTAGTGGCAGGTTTTTTCAGGGTAGCCAAATGCTAGAGTAAAAATATGGCCTACTTTAATAAGCAAAACAATGATATTGATATGAGAAATAACTGAGAATGAACTTATAACCTCACCCACCATAGTCCCTTTCATTTTATATGCTACAGTTAGCCTAAACACGGTAAAATTATCATATGTTTTCTTTATGACACCTCACTACTCTGTGGGGTTGGCCTCAATAGAAGAGCCTCTAGGCCATCCCATCAATTCATACCTCTTTTGACCTCTGTATTCCTACCTATGTTTATTGTTCTACCCCTGTATACCCTTTTTATTATCCCCTCATCATGTATACTTCTCACATGTCCATACTCTCCCAGTCACTATGATAGTTGATGTGGTAAAATTAAACTTATATTTTGTAAGAACACATTCTTCTCGAAGTTAAATGCATACTGTATTTAAGTTCCATTTGTGCTTTTGCAAAAAATTCTTATTAAGTTTGAATATAATCTCTTAAATTCTTGATAAAATTAAATTATTTTTGTTATCACAGATATACTATATCAGCTACAACTTACACAATTAGAAAATTATTAGAAAATAAAGTGTTCACAACTGAAACAGTTAATGATGAAACATTCAACTGTTTAAAATTTTTTCCTAGGTGGTGGTGGATTTGGTCGCTATGATGATGATGATAAGGGAGACCAGAGTGAAGATTACTTTGGTTACCGTCGTGTTCAGCGACAACAGATAACTGAAGAGGGTGTGCCTGAGCTGTGGATCCCCTCGCCACTTCATCCACAGCAAGAGTATGTACTGCAGTTGTTTGCAAACATTTGTTGTATAATAGGGATACTGTATATGAAAAGACCATAAACATTCATTCAGAAAAGCACAATGCTTCCTTGTATAAAGTTAAATGAATAATTTTTTATGCAGTTCAGATGCACTAAACACAGATGAAGAGAGGAAGCAGAAGATGGCCAGCAAGGACAAAGAGGGTGACTCTCATAGCTCAGAAGATGAAAAGAAAAGGAAGAAAAGAAAGAAGAAAGAAAAGAAAAAGAGGCGTAAGAGGGAAAAAAAAAGGAAGGAGAAAAAGAAAACCTCTAAAAAGAATGTGTCAGACTCATCCTCTGAAAGTGACTCAGACTCTGACATAGATGAGGACGATCTTCAGTGGATTGAAAGAAGAAGTAAGATATGGGGCCTTGTTGAGAAGGGGAACACAAGAGCAGAATGAGTGTACTTTTCCATTTGTATTTGGCTTCCCTGTTTTATAGTTGGAAAGGGTTTGTAAGAATGAAAAAATCATACAATATGTTAAACAATTGCTGATGTAACAGGAACACCTTTTTTATTGAACTCTGTTTTAGTTAAGCATTACCCGGTATATAGGATTTATTTTTCACTTGAGACACAGTAAGGGAACTGGATTGATAACTCGGCTATTGATGTTACTTTTATGTGCGGTATACATTTTTTTTTATACACACTGCCACCATATTTTAATTTAACATTGTGTGCATGTACGTATAAATAAGTACGCTATGTGTGAATAGGTTTCTACATTAAGTTTGTATCCATGTGTGTGTGTGTGTGTGTGATTTTTTCATAATTCATAAACCTTATATTAAGGTGTTTGATTACAGGGTATACAGTGTATATATATATATTTTTTTTTTCCTCTGGCTGCTGTTGTAAATATTAAGAAGATAAAATCTGCAGTGGATTTGCTTTCTATAGACAAGGAAAGGGACCTGTCTGTTCCTTTTACAGTATGTGTCTTGAGGCTGAGCTGGCAGGAGCTAATGATGTTTTGGTCTCAGGTCAGGGTGCTGATTTTTTATTTTTTTTTTCTATGGAAAAAAAACGTTGCTTTGGCTTCTCACCCAGAAACTGATTACTATAGTTCTGAAGAGGTCTGCAAATTCAATGTGATTTTTTTCTGTGGGAACTAACCCTGATGAATCAAATATAAGTGGTGACTGGAACTTCCCTAACACCTTAGTGACATTTGAATGTCAACTTGTTTCTGATAGAATGTTGGAATCATCAGTTTCTGAGATTAAGAAATAAACCTTTAGACAAGCATTTGTGATGCATTCTGTGAAAGGTCAGCTTGTTCCTTTATTAGTTTGGCTGTAGGAAGAATATCTAAATAATGTGGCTTCCGTGGTTTTCTTCTATTTACTGTTAGACTGTGCAGGCGATTAGGATAAAAGGTTGGCCAAGTTAAGAGTATGTTTTGGTTTCTTGGGAGTCTTGTGGACACAGATGAAAGATGCTGTGGGATTCCTGACATTGGCTTTCTTTTACTCCAGGGCTGCAGTCAGGATTAAAGCCTTAAGTAGTATCATTCTGCCACCCTGAATTTTTGCAAATTTCTTGGATTATAAGCATAATTTTTTGGTTCCTTTGTGTAACCAAGGGAAGAGTGAGAGGGTAGATCAGTTCTGCAAAGTGAAAAGCATTTTTTTTATGTATAGGAAGCACTCTGATACATCAAGTTCCTGTTTGGGTCAGGGGATGGTTTCTTCAGTTTACCTTTTTTAGTCTTGGGCAAAGCCCACTACCAAGGGACCTTCTTTGACTTCTCAGTAATTTTTTAAAACTTTATGGAAAGGATAAACGCTTCAGGGGTACCAAGATACCTAAAAGAAATAGAAATGGTGAAAGAGTTGAGCTCCTGAAGGAGTAATTCAACTAGGATTCTGGTGGGGACAAAGGTTCTGTCTCTGTTTCTGCCAGCCTCGGCAATGTTGCAAGAGTTCTAAGATACAGTTTTTGAGGCATCTTTAGCTCTGAATATATAATACCAGTATTGCTATGTTTATGATGAGTCCAAATGTGATTTCATTATTGTACACAATGGACTGTGGTGTAATGGTCAGCATGCTCGCCTCACAAGCAAGCGAACCCGGGTTTGATCCCCGGGCAGGGTGAAACTATGGGCAAGTTTCTTTATGCCATTTGCCTCTTGTCTACCCAGTAGTAATTGGGAACCTGGATGTTAATCAATTTCTGGATCGTGTTCCGGGGTAATGGTCAGCCAGTGCAGTTGGCGAGTTGTCCAGTCTTCTCGAACTATTCCTTGACACTGGGTCATGCAGCTCATTAACTCAGGGTGTGGTTGTTGTGTCGGTGACAGCTTCTACATCTTAAACAAATTCACGCCTAGGTGGCCCTTGGGCCGGCCATCCTAGTTACACGAGGCAACCATTATTTTATTTACAATGGACTGTATATTTGTAATTTCTAAACACATCTTACAAATGTGCATTGACAGCAGTTTTTGGTTGAGACTATTTTTCAAAGGGTATTGTTAAGCTGTCTTGGATTTTCTTTTTCTTAAAAAAAAAGTTCCTCATTCTTTGGAGGTGCACAGATTGCTTGAGACAATCTTTTTAGTTTTTAAATGAAATAGAAATTAAGTGAGACAGCCTTTTTAATTTCAGTATTTTTGGAATATGTTACTCAGCTTTGGGTGTAATTATGTAAGTTTTTCAATTATTAGAATATCTTGTTACAAATTTATAATATGATTTCACGTAAAAATGATGAGGTAATTCTAACCTAATGAATGTTATTTTCTCTTCAGAGGACAGTGATGGAGAGATGGTGGAAGAAGTTGTAGGTCCCCTCCCCAAGCCCCAAGTCACTCTTTCAAAGAAGGACTATGGCAAGGTGAGATCCTTTTCCTTTGTGTTTTGCATTCATTACTTGTAGGCCTTGGCATATGCACGACAATGACGATGCTGTTACAAATACGTATCAAATGAGCACAGTTATATTCATTATAATTCACCATACCCATATGTATCCCTCTACTGCACTTCATGTCACTGTCATTGTTAATTATTACTTTTCCAAGCTAGGCCCATATATTAAGACATGCTTTTGTGTGGTATATGCGACTGTATTGCGAGTAGCAATTTCACCAATGTCTCATAATTTAAAAAAATCTTTCACTTTTTCATTATAAATATTTCAATACACATCACCTTATTACTTTATAAGTGAATATCGAGGTTGTAAGAGATAAATATCTTCAGATAGTGGAGCAAATGTAACATTGGCCATTTTTAAATCATGCCTGGGACCGACACCCTCACTGCTTACTGAGGCAGAAGCATTACTGGCATTTGTTATCTGTTATCATGTGAGCCACCGCACATAGACAGGCTGCCACCTTGCCTCAAAACTTGGTTCTGTGCAAGAGAGTGGCGAGACAAAAGAGGCTTTAAAATTTGAAGTAATTCGACCAGAAACTTTTAGATAAAAAAACAAAAAACACAATACTGGCATCTGATCGCAGGGCAAAAGTTTCATTTCCATTAAATCAAAATCCCACCTATGAGGGTATGATCCTGAGTATGTTACTATGATGTTCAGTTACCAAATGTAGTAGGACCAGTGTGCCACAGATCCACACATACCAACCCTCCCAGGACGTCATGAATTGCATGTGGCATTTCAGAAGTCATCGGACCCATCCTGGCAGATACATTTTTGAGATACTTTACATCTCACACAATAAGAATGCATCACCAGTAGCCTACTCACCACAGCAATGACCGTTGAAGAGTTGCATGTTATTTACTAACAGTCTGTTTAAATATTGAATTTCATTGTACTGTATGATATATATATATATATATATAGCTTCTCAAGTGACTTGGGTCATGGATTTAGTAAGCCAATCGTCCAAAATTAATTCAGCAGCCAGTGTATGGTTATTTCTATCAATAAAACTATTATTCGTCAGATTATTCTATGAATATGAATACTTTGCCCGAGGATTCAAATAGGAATGCAAATATTGTACGTGGATTTCTAATAGTTAATACTGTATATACGAATACCCTGAAATTCTGTATTCAGTTGCATTTGAATACGAATACAGTACTGTACTCCATTCCTGTACATTATCAGATGGTTGAAACTATAATTAAGGAAAGGAACCTGGATGTCCTGGTTATGTGCAGAACAAAGCTTTATGGCTTAAGGTATGGTAGGAGGTAGGAGGGGGGACAAAGAATGTGGTAAAAAATGCACTACAAGTGGAGATGAATGACAACAACATGGCTTAAAATGATTTTTGAGAAAAGAAGTTCTGCTGATAGGGAATGTTAGGTTATATGAAGTGGCAAGAGTGAACTAGATGGATATTCAGGCTTTATTGTTGAATAACATAGAACACATGAATGGAATGTGTGTGAGTTGTTAACAACTGTCCTGCATTACAATGGAAAAAGTAAAAAACAGTTTATAGTACAGTATGTTTGCTTAAGCTCCTTTCCCTTACCCTAATTTCATCATTAAATGTACAGAATCCCTGATATTTACCATAATGTTTTCTTTAAAAACATTTGGGAATTACAGTATTTAGAGATTTTTTTTAATTCAAATTGAAGTGAAAATGTTTTCAGAGATGTAGACATTATTTTTATTTTATTTTATTTTTTATACTGTACAGTACTGTTATATTTTTCTTTGTCATTATTTAATATTTGTGTTTCATACAGGCTCTGCTACCCGGTGAGGGTGCAGCTATGGCAGCTTATGTAGCTGAAGGTAAACGAATTCCCCGGCGTGGTGAGATTGGACTAACATCTGATGAAATAGAAAGGTTTGAGGATGTCGGATATGTTATGAGTGGAAGCCGTCACCGGCGCATGGAGGCTGTACGTCTGCGTAAGGAGAACCAGATTTATTCTGCAGATGAAAAGCGAGCTTTGGCTATGTTCAGCAAGGAGGAAAGACAGAAGAGAGAAAACAAGATTCTCACCCAATTCAGAGACATTGTTCGTAGCAAACTGAATAAGAAGTAGATAAGTTTATATTCCAATGTCATGAAAAAAGTTCATAATAAGGGACTTTCTATAAACTTTTTCTTTTGCTCATCCAGTTGGGATAGTACGTATAAAAGGTACAGAGTATTTACCTGAACCCAGTTTTTATGAACCAGAAATTCTCATGTAAAGATATATTTTCTTTTAATTAATGCAATGTCTGAAATAAAAGGAAATGGTAAAGAGAAGCATTTTGTGTTAAATCTTCAAATAAGTTTTAATAGTACCTGGTAGCTCAAAGGGCAAAAACAGGGCCACCAAACAGTACTTTATATGTAGGCATCTGAAACATTGGTGAATAGGAGCATGTCAAGCTATTTTTTTAAATGAATTGAACTTGACACCTGGGGTGAATCAGTGAAGCCGAATAATATGAAGAATGACCTTTCAACCTCCTGTTGTTTTTAGTATATGAAATAGCTTTAACAAAAAGAGACTTAGTCCTGATCTTTGTTTTTTATTTTGAAACAGTTTCATTTAGTCAGAAAAACACCTAAATGGTGGGGATGCAAAACTACCTGCTCTACACACAGTTGTGTAAAAGTGAGCAAGCCACCAGCAGTACTGGTGTTTCATGACCCCACCTAGGGTACACACACATTTGTTGATCTTTGGATCTACTTGTCACACCCCCTCAACCGTGTGTGTCTGCCACACTGAGATGAGGTGGGGTGAACAGATTCCTTATGAAACACCAGTAATGCTGGTGGCCTGCTCACCTTTACACCTCCGTGTGCATAGCAGGTAGTTTCGCGCCCTACCTGGGATACATCACTGACCCGGGGTACATGCATATTTGTCGATCTGTGAATCAATAACAACACTATTGACAAAGCTGAGCCAAGTGAGAGCCTGAGCACTCTCTGGTGCACCTGATAACATTTCTCCCCATATTCCACTGTACAGTACACATTTTTGATAACCTTAAAAGTCCACGGGATCTAAGATCAAAGGTTTGGAAAAACGACTCGCAGCCTACAACCAAAGTGTCAGAATATACCTCAGGGAAATAAAACTCATGACTGGGACCTGAAGCTGTTAGATCAGATTATGAAAGTTGTGGAAAGAGTGATTGGGAAATTGAGTAGACAATAATAAAATGTATTTTGCATTCTTGCCAGGTAGAGGGACTAATGAGGCAATATTTATGACCAAGCAACTACAAGAGAAATACTGTATCTAGGGAAAGAGAAAACATTGAACATTGTATTGTATTTGTAGAACTGGAGAAGGCATTTGACTAAGTAGTTTTTAAGGTATTACTGTAAAGTGGGCGATAAGAAAGTTAGGGGTCCAAATGTGTCTTGGTCAAGTGGTTAAGGCATTGTATGAGGACTCAGGAACTGCTGTGAGAGTTAATGGTGAGAAACTTGAGGTGAAAGTAGTGGTCAATCAAGGGTCTGTCTTAAGCCTCCTTCTGTTTGTCATGGTATAAGAAGGCAATATCATAGGATTATAGGACTGGTCTGCCCTGGCAAATATCGCATGCTGACAACTCAAGCTGTTAGTAAATAGTATCGAAGATGTACTGTAGTGGAGAAATTTAAGAAATGGATGAGTGGAATCAAAGGGTATGAGAATGAGATATGGGGAAACAAAAGTGATTGTTGAAAATATGGCCATTGTGCTGTTTGTAAGAAAGGTATTGGCAGACACTCAGTAATATGCAATGAATGTGGAAGGTGGGTACATAAGAGGTGGAGTGGTGTAAATGGTAGACTACAGATATTGCTGACTTTAAATGATCTTTATGCACAGGTAATCATATGCCCTTAGCAAGGCTGGAGAAACTCGACATTAAGTATGTATGTTGATGAACTCTGCCACCTGGGTGACATGACTAGTGCTGAAGCTATTTCATTCGCTAGAGAGTCAAAAGTGACTGGAGGAAGTTTAGGGAGCTGTTGCCTTGACAGAGCTTCTCTTTGTGTGAAAGGAAAGATGTATGCAACTGGATTGAATTGTGATGCTGTATAGCAGTAAAACATTGGCAATTAAAGTGAGCTGATGAGGTGGGGCTGCGCAATGAGACACTGAAAGATAAGAAACCCTGTTCAAAGCTAAGTGGGCAACTGGGTATTGAGAGTATTGGTGAAGTTTTATACATGTCCCAGTCTGAATTACTGTATACAGGCATGGATACCCTACCTCACGAAGGACTTAACATCCCTGGAGAAGGTGCAACACAGAGCGACTAAGATGATTTTGGAACTTAGTCATCTCGATTATCCAAGTAGACTAAGGGCTTTAGTACAAACAACCTTTCAGACAGGCACATTAGGGTGGGTCTCAAAAAGATGCTCAAAATCTTGATTGCAATGGAAAACATGAAGCAGGGCTTCAAAATAGCCCAAGAATTATACTGTACCGTGTCACATTTCTATATTCATGAAAAAAAGTGGTATTGACAGACAGTATCTTGAAAACAATCTTAGGCTGCCAGAAAGTCACTATGGATATAAAAAGAAAAGATGTACTAAGACTACACCACTTTATTAATTGCACATTAATTGCACAGATATATACAAGTCTTTAAATTATTCAAAAAGAATAATCATTATACAGTATTCAAGGATTGTTGATAGCACTGATACCATTAATCAATACATCCTACTGCACATAATTATACAATATCATATTGTAGTACATGTGACAAGAGAGAGATAAGTTCACCTACAATACACAATGATGTTGCTTTCCAAGAATAAAGGAGCTGGGTAAAGAGTAACTGAAATAAGTGCTGTTCATTAGAAAACAAAACTTAATAACTGTTAACTGTAATGACAACTACAATGCCAGGGTTACAATACTGTATAGCTCCTCTGTATGTTATGCTGGTGAGCTAAAAATCAGATAACTATTGCTCTTCTATTGTTTTAAATTATATTACAGTACCAATGAAGCACTCGAGTCAAATCCAACTTTTTTCAATGAAATTTCACAACTTTGCCTCAATCTACAGCACAACAAGACTGTACTGTACTGTACTCAAGTGAAGCTAAGGTCATAACTGCAACATTCTGGGTTTGTCACAAGTACTGTAGACTTTTTTCTCTTGTTAAAAAGTTTTAATTATCAACTTCCATTGCTACATTACAGTGACTACAAACCATTTAGTAATTTCAAATCATGAGTCCCTAAAGAGCATTAACGAAGAATTGTAAAGACTCTGGAATATCATAAGTACCATTTTCCTTTTGTTTATTTTCAAGTAAGAGTCCCAATAATCGAGTAACATTACAAACTCTTATGTGCATCATAGATAAAAAACTGACTGACTTGGAATGGGTCTTACAAATAGTCCAAAGCCTCTTACTAATGTAATCGCCACATAGAGAAACTCGTCCAACCTCATGATACTCCCCCGTGCTTGGGGAAAACATCTGCAATCCTATAGCAGCTGATTCATGTGTATATAGGTGTTGGGGAGAATACTGAATTACCCTGTAATGCAGTCCAAGTTTATTGTAGCTCTGGATCAATGCCAGCAGTGCTTCATCTAATACCTCCAACTCATGCACAGGTTTACATTCATGTACAACAAAACCATCAACAACTGTAGACTGCCTGCAGCCAAATAGGCCTGGGAATTCAGAGTTTGTTGGAATATAATTCCGGCCTGCAGTAATTACTTTTTGAGGCAGGAATTCTGACTTTTCTATAAGATGTTTTGTAAAATAAGCTGAAAATGCTGCTAAAGATCCACCACCTACTAGATGCTGTGAATTCTTATCCTGATCTGCCTCAGAAGTACTTAGTTTATTGAAGCTGTCCCTGTCAGCATATTGCACACCACAACCCTCTACAACAACTTCCTTTACAAAATCTGGATTCGATTGCTGGAGGTACCCAATAGCTTTAAAATTTGACGTAAAATAGTCACTACATGCAAGTTCAAGTATGGCCAGCCTTTTCTTTAGATAGTATGCAGAGGGAGAATTATTCATAAATTCTAGTTCCCCATTGATTTCTCCTAGTTCAAGATGGTCCTTGGGCTGATAACTGAAGGCTGGTTTCTCAAATAAGCTAAATAACAACTTATTACAATGGCCAGTAGAGTGATGTAGATGATTTGGAAGTTGCAAAGCTCCAATTACTGCAACCTCTTCCAAATCCCATAGCTCTTGGGTCAAAGCTTTTAACTGCTCTCGAATTTTCTTTCCATGTTGTTTCAGTTCCCTTAATTTATCCTGATCAGAATTATTCTTTAAACCTTTTATTTTCTTTGCTATAACAACCCTTTCTTCCTCAAGTTCCAATCTATGGCACTCCAATTGTCTCCATGTAGTCCACTTGTTCATAATGTCATGGATATTTATGTTTAATCCACGCTGATTAACATTACTCTTTAGGTCACTTAAATTTTCAAAGCGCTTGGAAAAATCTAGATAGGGAGAAACAGCACAATCCATAGTGGTTGCCTTATTTCCTGGCATATATAAGGCAGATGTTGGTGCCTCCTTTACTGGCACTTTCATACCATGAGAAAAGTAAAGTCCTCTTCTTACAGTATATGAAATAAATGTTCTGTGTAATAAGTTGACCATTTTAAGTCTTCCTACAAAATTGAGATATTTTAACATGTTAGAAAATAATTTTAGGATCCTTCTTTGTCATTTACGAGTTTTCAAGCTTAATGTAACAAACCATTCTGTTTCACTACTCTGTACAGTATATCAAGATCTGTTTCACAGGACACTCACTCTCTCCTCAAGGATATTACTAGTTTGTCATGGGTGGGTCGTGTATGGATAAAAATCCATAAAACAATATTACAACTTTAAGAGTTTAGGATTCCTTCTGGAGATGCTCCAGCTTTTGATCATCCTGACTTGTAGTTGCTTCAGATTTCTTTGTAAACTCCTGATTCAGGTCAAAATGTTCTACTGACTTTAAGCCATCAATATGGTACAAATGAACATTTTCCAACTTGAGCATCTTGACAAACTTGCGACCTATAAAAAAATTAGTATATTAGAACACTTCAGCAATTACTTACATCCATTTGCAAGTATTTTAGAGGGTAAACTTTTAATTACAGATGGAGAAATTTAATTGAAGTACTGGACAGTATAGGCATAGCCAACTGGTTATATGAGCATCACCCAATAATACTGTACTGTATTCTGATGGTAACTGAAAAATAAGCTGATCATACAGCCTTTAGATACAGATGGGCAGAAGACTGATGGATGGACCAGCAGACACACAGACAGACAGACTCACCAATTGTCCTCTAAGTGGGACTAAATGGTTAATAAAAAATTACAACTCCAAGCAAAAAATAAAAAATCTGTTAAATACCTGCCGAGTACCTGCTAATTAAATTACTTAATTTTTCTTTTCCTGGGGAAAGTAATGCATGAGCAGCACACCCACGGCCATTTTTTAAACATTCGGGTTACTTATTAGTATCCCGAAAGCGCCCTCAGAGCTGTAATCCATTTTTTAAACCAAATTTTGTCGGGTTACCATCTAGTAGTCCGACAATATTATTGGAAAGTTCGGGATAAGTCCTCGGGTGTGGGTAGGCACCCGAAAGACTTATCCCGAATGTTCAAACTAGTTATGTATGAATAAAAAAGTCTCTGAAATATAATACAGTATCATCATAGGAACCCTGTTGTTTACCATAACCAGGATAAGCAATGTTAGAGAAAACAGTAAATAGAAGAAAATTCTACCCTACAGGATGCAGTATTCCGCACACCTGTCCTCATAACTGCACAGAGATACTTTAGCAGTGGCAGCTTCCAAATTAGTATGGCAGTCTGCTTGAAGATTTCTGCCTCATCAGTTTGCAAATTTGTCAGAAGCTTTGCAACTATTTTGACCCTTACGGCAAAAGATTACATCCGCTTTCCAGAATCAGGCAACATACAAAATCTTGTAGATGAATTTCACACCATTGCAGGGATGTCTGGTGTATTTGGCTGCATTGATGGGTCTCATATCCCTATTGGAAGCCGTGGAGGGAACACAGCTGAACTACCGTACATCGATGTAGAAAGGGGTGTAACTGATACATGGTTTGATTTGTATGATGTAGTTTGTTTGAAAGCAGTCGGCTGCTTTCTCGTCACTCACTCAGAAAGACTGAGCGGGTGAGCGTGATTGCGTGAGTGAACAGCCACGGTGGCGCCTCTGGTGAGCATATAAGGCATTTGTTTACCATGGCGGTACATTTGAAATATTTCGTGCCCGATTTCCTCGCAAAATAAAAAAATATATATCGCTATATATATATAGGAAAATGTCGATAATTTTGGTAGCCGCAATATAACTTTTTTTTTATATAAAGTCACGATATATCCCGAATCTACTGTACTTTATGATTGAGAAATTAATAGAACAGTACTGTACAGTATATATACTTTTAAATGATAAAAACATACTTTAGTGTAAACTGTAAAATATTTGTTCATATAAACAGAAAAATAGAGCAGCACACCTTGAAAAGTTGGCAGCAATTTAATAACCAGATGCTTAAAAACGAGAAGACTGACCTACAACCATTAACATACAGGAGATAACCCAAGAGGACAGGAGGTGGAATAGAGGCTGAAAAGCAGACAAGTCTACAAGTAAGTCTCAAGTCAAATACCAAGTCATTACAGATACTATATACAGGGTATATATAGAGTACAGTATAATTTTTTCACATGGTGCTTCTTACTCTGTTTAAAAGCTCACAAAATATATGTCTGACTCTTAAAGTAAATTAAGTCTTACTCATCCCTCCATCTGCCTCACCCTCTTACTCCACCACTGGACTACCACTGTTACACTAGGCTCTCTATCCTTAAGTCTCCCTCACCCTCTTACTCCACCACTGGACTACCATTGTTACACTAGGCTCTCTATCCTTAAGTCTCCCTCACCCTCTTACTCCACCACTGGGTAAGGTCTCATTCACAAGAGAAGGTTTAGTGTAGTCTTGCTTGTATTCCCAACTGTTTTTACCATTAAAATGCTGAGTGAAGATGAATGTGATAGTGATAAATACACCACAGACATTGGAGAATCAGGCAGGACACTAAAGATGACATAACTGATGAACAGACAAACTCCCGGTGATGTTTCACCTGGGTTCCAGTTAACAGTAATCAACAACATCAGACTGGGTTGTGACTGAGGCACTGAGGATGTGATGGGAAAGGGAACCATATCATACATCATAATAAGCACAGGTACAGTACAGTTTAACGACTCAAAATACTGCATATATCTGTGCCAGGAATAATGTACTTTTTACTTAAAGACAGTGTTAAACATACCTTGAGACAAGCTACCATCATCCTCAACTTTCTTAATACGTTCAGAGTAAATCATATAGGCTAAAAAACCAAACAAGTTCCATCCAATAAATGCATAGGCCAGGGACAGGTTGATCCTGTAACAAAAACATGAAATAACAAATTAATCAAGTAAACTATCAGTTATTGTATTCCTTTCTGTAGAGTATCTTCAATCTTCCCCAAATATATAGAACAACCCTTAAAAAATCCTGGGTGTGTCCCCGTTTATACTGTACTGTACTGTATAATGATTCTAATAATTTGCTCCTCAAGATTGCTGATACAGTGCTGTATACTGCAGTGCATAATATTGCAACACAATATACATTACAAGCAGCTTCAAAATCTTACTTCACACGACTTGCTCGGTCCTGGGGGATTTCTGAAGTGCGGCGGCGTATAAACCGTCTAATGAAACGAGGCAGACGAAAGAATGACATTCCATCTGCAAAAGAAATGCTGAACCCAGTCTTACAAAAATTTACAGCCAGAAAAATGCAATAGAATTAACATACTGCAACATTTAAACAATGAAAAACAACTATTTTTTTTAATACACAATAAAATTTTTGCATTTTCAGTAACTGTAAGGGTTCAAAATACTAGTAACATTGAAAAAGAAAATATTGTATTGAATGGACTACAATTCAGATGCTCTTCAGTACCTGCCTTGCTTAAACTAACTTAACTAAAAACTAAAAATAACCCAAGATTATTTTGTTTGCAGGTGATGTTAGGTTTAGTTAGTTTGTTTTACTGTACTGTATACCGTATATGTACTAGAGTAAAGTACAGTACTCATATTGATCTTTTGCTCCCCATTTATAATAAGAAAAAATTATTCTATGATAGGGTGGATTACCCCGAGTAGAAACAATGGACCATATAAAAAATGATTGTATGATAAGCTTACAATGTCACTGTACTGAGGAATTCTCAAAAAAAAACTCCCACTATATAAACAAGCATTAAATGCCCCAGTAGTGAGCACCTCAAATGAGGAGGTTCAAAGTGGATAGTCACTAAAGACAAATTCACTTCTTCACAGGTTCTTTACCAGAGTGAGGTATGAGCCACCTCTACACCTCACAGTTTATTCCCAACTTTTTCGACTTCCTTTAATTAAGTCTTCTGATGAGAAAAGGTTTGGGGCATCCATTCTCATTAACTTCATCTCTTACCCTTGAATAACCACAAACAGCCACATAAACAATTTTCAGGTGCAGTATTCCTGTTGGATCACCGTAATTTAAAGGTCCAACGGCATTGCCTTCTTCAAGGAGACACTTAGTCTCATGTGTTTCATTATGGCTTTGTGCACTACAAGTCTCAATAGTTATCACAAGTTATCTGTGCTTGTTGAGGATCAAGACCATGTTAAGGACTTAATATATGATCATGGAATTGTTAGGATGTGCAAGTGTTCAAAATGCAACAGGCATGTGCCATTCAATCAACATTAGTATTTATTTTAGTGTAACACGCAACTTCAATATTAAGGTAGGTTTCTCATGCTATTAGGGGTTCCAGGGGGCAGAGCCCGCCAGTTAGAAAGTTAGGCTAGGTAATTACAGTAGGTCAAGTTCTGTGCAGTTTCGTATCAATTTTCTCATTTAGTATCATGCAAATAACATCTCTGGAAATTTTGGTACAACTCGATAATAGTATAAGAGACGGCTAACACCAGAAGAGTTTCTCAATTTTGTTCACTTTTTCCACAAATGATAGTAATAAAAATGATACAATTTTAACCTTTTGCTTTTTTGTGTTTTTTTTTTTTTTTGCTTTTCTCTTTGATCATAAATCACTTGTTGTGGGCAAGGCATCAAATATGAGGGAATTATTGGGTAAAACATGGCAAAAAAACTGATCATATGACACTAAAATGATATATCTATTTGTTTTGTATGTTTACAAAATAAAAATTTACCGAAAATATTCCTCCGAAAAATCTGCCATTGTCAGTGTGTGTTATCGTTTGCTGTTTGCTTACATTAGGCCCGAGCGTACTTTAATGTCTACAAAAAACATAAAATTACACAATGATGTTTCAATACAGTTGCTTTCATCGGTATCAGATATCAAAATATAGTAAGTACTTTCTGTTTAACTTGGTGGGGGATCCAAGAGGCAGAGCCCTCTACTAGGAAGTTAGGTAAGGTTAGGTAGGTTTATTTGGATGGTTAGATCAGGTTCTATTAGGTTCTGGGCATTGTGGATCACACTTTTTTACTTAGTATCATCCAAAGAGCATCTGTGGAAAAATTTTTGCAAGAGACTGTCAGTTGATTGAATATGTCCAAAGGAGTGCTGCCTGCACTATGGTACTTCAGTTACCCAGAGATTAGAATGCATGCAGCTGCCTAGATTGTACTATTGTATAGACAGGCAAGGGGTGACCCAATTGAGATATATAAACATCTCAGAGGGCACAACTCAGCAGACTGTCCATACCTGGAGCTGGCAGGCCCGCCACAAATCCAGAAAATTGTGAGGGAAAATTTAGGGTAAAATTGCAGTTTCACTCCCTATTGGTTTTCACCAGAAATCTAGGCTTTTTTCCCATGTTACTTAGTGTGATTCATTCGAATTTGACCTTAATTTCCATAGGAAATGAGTCGTTTTTTAGTTATCCCCTCCTCCTAATCTCACCTAACCCAACCTAACCACAATGGTAAAACTGCAGTTTCACTACCAATTGGATTTTTACCACAAATCTAGGTGCTTCCCATGGTATTTGGTGTGAGTCATTCGAATTTGACCTTAATTTCCATAGGAAATGAGTCGTTTTTGTAACTTCTGGTAAGCTCAAAGTTGCTCTAACCCAATTGGGATTGAAGCTGCAATAATACCAAACTGAACTGTACAGTATTAATATAATAATATCTCACCAAAGGAGATCTCTCAAGCTAGTTAAACAGAAGCTGCACCTTTCTTCTGTTGACAATATTTGGGGCCAAATTATTCCGCTCATGTTATTTTGGTCAGCATCACAAAACAGTTTACATTAATAATCTCTGCTAACATCTTGTTTCTCTTGGAACTCTTCACTGTGTGATACAAAATTTTTATCGTAACTATATATTGTTCGATCTAATAATGGAAGTCTTGTACTTCGTTAATAATTTCGACCTGGTACAGTACAGACCAGTAAAAGGGTATTTCTAAATTTATCCAAGTGACCAAGTCTGTTTAGTATTCATCACTTCCACAATTTATCAATTTACTGGCCTTTTGGGCAGGTGTGGTAATGGTGAGGGAGTGGGCAGGCAGATAGGTGGGGTGGGTGGGTAGGGGGGTGGGTTGGTGGGTAGGTAGGTGGGTGGGTGTGATGGGTAGTATAGGTTTACACCCTTTAAAGCGCTTCCTGAGAAAATAAAACTCCGCCTAGTGACATCATTTATCACACGATATTAAGTTACCCAGCAATACCTCTTCATACTATGATCACCACTCAAATATTAATATTACAGGTGGTCCAAAATGAAGCCCTAAGATTCGTCACAGGCGAAAGATACCCCTTCACCAGAACCACAGCCGAGATACATAGAGACCTGAGAATGAAACCCATCAACCAGCAGCTGCACACCCTGGCCAGCAGAATCTGGCAAAAGATAGAACGATCAAAGCAAGAACTCCTTCAAAGACTCCCACCAGATAACGACAACAACCATACATGGTTCTCAAAAAGTTACCAAATCTCAAAAGGTCCATTACCACCCCCGATCTACACGGCCAGGCAATAGACAACCTCCCTAGACCAACATCCGCCAGTAGGGTCGGCGGAATATGAAATAAGGCCCTTAAAACACTCATGTATGGGACAGGGTAGGATGTCTAGTGCCTGTACCGACAGACAATAAATAACCCATGACACAACCCTAACACACTATTAGCTTAGCTAGGCGGTCAGCCCGCCCTCTCTTACCTCCTCCTAAACTTCTTCAATTTCCGAACTATAACTTCCTTCCCCCACCTCTAATCTTCTTTCACCCCTCCTTTCTCTACAAAAAAAAAAAACCTTCTCACATCTGTCCCAGGCTGGAGTTTGGGCCCCAGGACAGTTTTGTGAGATACACACACTACCACTGTACCACCAACACCCACTGTACTTTAGGTCAAATATCATATTATTTCATTTCGAAACATGACAACTTTAAACATGACCATTGGATTTCAAAGTCTTTAGCTTTTTGTACAACTAAGTTAATTTACATTGTGTTGTACATAATGGTAAATTTATAATTTGAATTATAATTTTACAAGGATTTCTTTACTAAATTTTAGGCCAAACTGACTTCCATTCAACTATTGGTGTGCAGTGTCCAGATTGTCAACATTCCATAAGTAAAATCCCTACTGTACTCTACTTTCTTGTACTATGTATACATTACTTTCAAAATAATAGTATGTATACAGATTCAAAAACTTATCTTTACGGACATGGCCGATGAATCTCAAAATGAACACAGACGCCTGTTGTCTCGGAAGTTGTCAAAATCCTTCGTCCAAGGTGTCATTGTCCAACACCACCGTAAAGGTGCATTTTTGATGATGTACAATGAAAGACAAAAGTCGTGTCGTGAAAATTGGTGAAAACATATGCCGAAGGGCTAAACTTTTGGTGCACACTGCCATGTGGTAGGGGGCTCTCTTAATGTTTCATGGGTTATATTTAATCTTCGGACAAAACCGCGACACGACTTTTGTCTTTTGTACACCTTGTAATAACTAAACTGAAGTAGGGTATTACAATGCCATCTGTATGCACAATCCTGTGGTTATCTCTTTAGTTTTGATTTTGCATACCCAGTAGGCTGGCACTTGGATGTCAATTCGTGATCCATATACTATACACCTCACCTTCAGGTTTCAAGTTCAGTTTACAAGATTCAATATTCTACTTTTCCCAAATCGGAGTGTACAAGATATCAAATTTATTTAGTGTTTATTTGATTATGAACAAATATTGTATAACGAGAGCCAACATTATATTTTCTTTCTTGATACAAGTGCCAACCATTACACAATACTATATCTTAACTTTTTTTTTAATCTGTGGCTCGACTCGAGGCTTACTTATACATTTTTAAATATTTCTTTACTGTACTTTTAAATATTTTCTCAATTCTTTATTATATAAATAAATTTGTGCTTAATAATGTGGTAGTTATGAAGGTGTGGGCTGTGGGATGGTTGACAGTACAGAAGTCGTTGAGGTCATCTGGCCATCTTGCTTTCACATCTGGTACATCGATCTTGTACACCAACCACCTGTAATAAGATTTTAAATTTAGATCATTCTTAATTAATATTAATGTATCATTTACCACTACACAACATTTACCCCAACATTTCTTGCATTCTGTACTTGCATCCTTACATATATCCATACACGTGAGCACCAGCCTTCCTGCTCCTATGACTGCAGCAGTCTTCTCACAGGCATCATCCACAACATTCCTTCACAGTACATGCCATTTTACTCAGATAAATTTACAACATTTACTATTAACCATCGTATGAGCACACCACCACCGCCCGTGCACAAGTGCCCTCCACTGCCCAATAGACGAGCCTCCCTCCACTGCCCAACGTACAAGTGTCCCTCCGCTGCCCAATGTACGAGCGTCCCTCCGCTGCCCAACGTACGAGCGTCCCTCCACTGCCCAATAGACGAGCCTCCCTCCACTGCCCAATATACGAGTGTCCCTCCGCTGCCCAACGTAAGAGCGTCCCTCCACTGCCCAAAGTACGAGCGTCCCTCCACTGCCCAACGTACGAGCGTCCCTCCACTGCCCAATATACGAGTGTCCCTCCACTGCCGAACTTACGAGTGTCCCTCCACTGCCCACCGTACGAGCGTCCAACCCTTCTCACAAAGCAAGTCACACATTTTCATTCTTACATTCAGTCGTTTTTAGGATTGCCATACGAAGACGTAGGTAACTTAAGCGGGGAGGCTGAATTAACTTGTGTTTCATCTTGCTCAAAGTTGTTTGTCACTTCCCCTATGTTGGCCTTCAAGTACATCATCTGTCACCTGCAATATAATTCGAGTTATTTAAGTAGAATGAAGGTCAAACATGCAATATCCTTCTACCACCGGAGCACCTTTACTTAAACAGACTCCAACTGTACACAAGTTATCAAATTTTAACAATTTATAAAAGTAAACTTGAACTAACTTGAAAATTAACTTTCTGTATTCATGATCAGTAAACGTAAGTGGCTCATAAAATAGTTTGAATTAATGTTCTTTAAATACTTTAAAAACATGTTCTTGTATAATAGTTAGCGTAATACTGATTTGGCTCAGTCTAAGTTAGTTGTGTTTAATCTAAGTTAGGCTGGTTAAGCTAGGTTAGGTTAGTAAAGTTAGTTGAAGCCCACCCACAACAACTTGCTTTATTTGTTATATTTACTACTATACTACTACTAATTTTATCAAATAACCAAAAGGCATGTTGTCCTGTATATTTATACGGTCACTACAACTAATATTAACTTTACTCTAATATCAGTGTCCACAGTACAGTCAGTCGAACAGTCCCCCACAGCCCTCCAACACACACTCACACAGTCCCCAGAGCCCTCCAACACACACACACACTCACACAGTTCCCCAAAGTCCTCCAACACACACTCACACAGTTCCCCAAAGCCCTCCAACACACACTCACACAGTCCTCCAACACACACAGTCCTCCAAAGCCCTCCAAAACACACACACACAGTCCTCCAGAGCCCTCCAACACACACACACACAGTCCTCCAACCCACACACAGTCCTCCAGAGCCCTAGGATTACAGTTGTTCCTAAGACCGCCATTGGTGGATCCAGCGCCCCTGACAGGTACCCTGGGGGCACCGGCGACCCTGAGAGGGCCATGGGGGCGCCTCCGTGCCTGGCATAGCCAAGTGACCCTCACATGGATAGCGGCGATCCCAAGGTCCCTTACAGGGACGGGGGCGCCTTCAGGGATGTTCCCAGGGACGGCGGCGCCCCCAGGGGCCATACCACAGCATTGGCGCATTCAGGGGCCCTTCCAGAGGCGGTGTCTCCCCCAGGGTCCCTCTATGGGGCCTCTGCTCCCAAGGAACCTGCCAGGGGCTGCGGCGCCCCTATGGGCCCTCATAGGGCCGGCGGCGCTGGTATGGGCCCTCCTAGTGGCAGTGGGTGCTTTTCCAGGGGCGGCAAGGTCTCTGCCAGGGGCGACAGTGACCCCAGGGGCCCTTCCACAAGCAGGATAGCCCCAAGAACTTCATAGTTTTGTCGTACATTTTGCACTCGTCCAGTTACCCATTACTTAAACATAATTGGTGGAGTAAGATGTAACGTCATCAAATTACAGCCAATAGGAGAACAGAGCAATTAGTCAGCACAACACCCCAACTTATGCTTTGCTGTTGGATATTTATTCTCGTTTCACTATTTAAACTCAGGGAGATATGACGTTAAATAAATAGACACTGCCCTTAGCATTTTCAGTATTATCGCAACCTGAACAATGAAAAGGAGAACAAATATCCAACAGCAAAACATAAGTTAGGGTGTTGTGCTGATTGATTGCTCTGTTTTCCTATTGGCTGTAATTTGATGACATTACCTCATATTCCACCAATCACAGTTAAGTAGGAGATTACTGGAAGAAGGCAATATGTACGACACACTATCCATTGTTTTGGGGGGCTGCCTCCCCTAGGAGGACCTATTGTGAGCCACAGGCCTTGGCAGGGTCCCTGGGAGCAGTGGCGCCCCATAAAGAGGCCTGGGGGGCGCCACCGCCGCTGGCAGGGCCTCTGAGAGCACCACTGTCCTTAGGAACGTACCTGGAGG